CAGACATGGGTTACAGCTCATTTGTCCATGCTCACTTTACTTTGTCCAGTCAATGTTGATGTCACCTGATTATCAGTTGAGTTTTACTGGAATATCAAGTGGCTATCAGCAGGGTTTTTAGCATTGAGTCATAGTAGCCTTTTTATAAGCTGGATAAATGTTACCATTCAGATTGTTAGACTCTGAGAAACAGTGGCAACTATTTACATATAAGTTGAGAAGTTTTAACAATGAGTGATTTGTGAAAGATCATTGATTCCAAGTCGACGTTGTACAATTCAAACAGTGTGCTCACCAAATGTTCATCACAACAGAACAAAGATCCCTTATTTCTCTGCCAGTGCATCTGAACTAACTGACACATGAGGAAACCTTATGAAGTACTTTCATTATTCCAGATTTTTTTTTCTGCTTCCGGTTATCTAATATCCCTTAAACATAACACACCTTGACTCCAAACTTAATAAGTGAAATGAGAAATAAGAAGAGTGTTTTTCCCTGTATCTCAGAGAACCCTAACATCTGTGTGTGCTGATTTGGCGCGGCTGTCACACCACCGCGGAACAAGCGTGGAAAGAGAGAGGACTGAATCTGAGTCAGAGCCTCCTCATCTGTTGTTCTGCTGTTTGTCAGGCCTCAGTTCTGCCTGTTAGCCACATGATCTCAAAGCTAGGAAGCCATGTAACTGCTATTTCACGGCAGCGTACTGAGACTGGAGGGGAAGGGGTTCTTATGAAGGAGTCTCTCTTATCAAACTGCGTCACCACCTCCATAAACCTCTCTTTTTTTTTACTTTATACAGCTTCCTGATTTTACACCACAACGTTTGAGAAAAGTCGAGTGTACAGTTAAGAATATAACCCCCTTAAAATGTATAGCTTAAATGTTTTTTTGTCCTGGAAACTTCTCTAAAATAAATCAGTTTTGTAATACCGTTCACTTTTTTTCCAGCTATACAATCATGAAGATGTGCTGGAATGTGGAGCCGACAGATCGTCCCACATTTAGCAAGATCAGTCAGATGATAGAGAGACTACTCGGGGAGCAGTCTGAGCGGGAACAGGTGGGTTGGTGTGAAGCACATTTCAGAGACTCAAAACCTGCTTTACCAAAACTATCAATAGAACAAATCATGTGGCGCCCCAGACAAAGTGTCCTCAGGAAACTCTCATTCTTAAATTCAATTCTCTCTGAGATTAAGCTAAGCTGTGAAACCAATTCAAATAATTAGATCTTTTGTGATAACATCTTATTTGGGTGCTGTTCCCAAGGGCGACACGCACATGTTTATGTTGTTTGAAAGCTAGTTTTTCCTATTATCACACCATAATATTATGAAGCTGAGATCAGTCTTTCTTGGATGAAGTCTCACCATCCTAATGCTGCCTCTCCACAGCTAATCTACCAGAATGTGCCGCAGCAAGTCACAGAGGGTGAAGTGTGTGACGCGCCCAAATCGTGCGACGGGCCCTGTGACCGGTCTTGTGACCACGAGGAAGAGGAGCAGCCTCTGATGAAGACCAACAACTATCAGTTTTGTTGAAAGCTAACCGCCAATCAATACGAAAAGAAAAAAAATAACTCATCAGCAAGCATCAGGGAAGTGGGATCAGCTGTAGCCTGATGCCAGGGTACCACAGCTTGTTCTAACCACCGGACAGTCGCAGAGAGTCATAGCTATTTTTTGCCTGTTGTGCTGTTCGCCAGACAGACAAGCAGCAGCAGCAGCAGCAATCATGTGACTTGCTTCTTTGCAGACCATGACTACAAATTGCCACGTCTAACACTGACTGAAGAAATGAAAGGAGGAAACATGTCAACTAACTGCACAATCATCCAAAGATCCACCACAGACTCTTTATTCCTACTTCTGATATGTATTTGAGGTATAATCTGTTATCAAAAGGATATCTGTTAGTCCTTTCCAGGGACATAGCACAACATGAAGGACCCTTACAGTCCTTACGGGCCCCTAGCACAACCACAGCTATTCATTCTCATATTTTGTGTTGGCCTTGCTCACATGAGGGCCTTGGATACTCAGTACTCTATTTTCCCCAGTCCTACGCCCCTGGTCATTTTCTTCAGAGAGTGTTCCTATTATATATTGTACACTGTATTTTTGTATGATAGTTTATGCCTGTTTTTTGTGGAGATATCAGTCAGGTTCCCTTCCTTTTTACTATGTTATTGCATGTACGGTTTTTCAGAGGAAGAAACCCAGCGGTCACATTAGATCCACAACAACAGCTGCTCATCTTTATATGCTGTAGACAAGTTAGGTTTTATTCTACAATCACCTCAAAAGAACATCTAAACAGTGCAAGTGTTTATCCCTGTTTTTAACAAGCTAAAAACAGGGATAATGGGCTAAAAACAGGGATAATGGCCAAAGAATGGCCATGTTGTTTTGCTCGCCGTGGTTTGGTCATAGCTGTATTTCTTGTTGCATACTTACAGCAGCTGTCAGTTGGTGGCAACATGTGATTCATCCACCTCTATCTAATGAATTAAGCATTGTTAAGTGTGATTTAGGAGCAGGGAAATCCGTTCTGCATCAGGTGAACACTGTTTCATGTTTGACAATGTGAAAGTATTTTTTGTTTTTTGTGCGGCACAACTTATCCTCTCCGATGTCTGTATGTAGCGGACAGCCTTCACTGCCAACTGTTTGAAGATATTAGATTAACGTAGAAGATTTTTGGATAACCTATAAGCTACAGTATGTGAGATACAGACTGCAAATGTGTGTGTCTTCAGGCATTTCAATTGTGCTTGCATCTGATTTAAACACGAGTGAGGTGTCTAATAATGTATAAATCTCATGATGTAAATCAAGAATTATCTATATTTTCGCTGGAATGTTGTAGAGTAGATAGTCAATATTTCGGTACCACTTTACAATAAGACTACCCTTATAAAGGGTTTACGAATAGTTTGTAATTCATTTATCAATTAGGTTGTGAACACTTTATAAATCATTAATAAGCTTTTATAAGACATGAGATAAACAGGGCAACTGTGACTGGTTGCTTGCCAAATAGTGAGCCCACATTTATCTGTACTGCTAAGTCTTATATTGGCTACTTAGCTTACTTCATCTTCTTCATCAGCCAGCATCCTTGGTATCTGTTGCTCACTGAGTTGATTCTCGCTAAGTAGCCAATATAAGGCTTAACCATCTTGCCAAATAGTGAGCCTGTGTTGATGTATGAAAACTGTTAGAACTGGTTTATAAATGGTTCTTAATGATAAATAAAGTGTTTACAACCTAATTCATAACCTAATTATAAACCCTTTATGAATCCTTTATAAGGGTAGTCTTATTGTAAAGTGGTACTGATATTTCATATACTGTATCTGTTGTGTTTTTGTGTGCAAATGAAACAATCAATGCAAAAGCTGCAAATTAAATCACTGAGAAACTGCAGAGGCTTTGGATGAAGATGTACCATTAAAACTCAAGAAAAGGAAGTTTAATATACTGCAAGATTACGATGCAGTGTCAGTTTGAGCAGATATAATGTGCTTACTTCCTTTTTCTTGAATAATGCAAAATCTGCATTTCCTCTGGAACATTTCCCACAGTATCTGTCAACATTGCACTCGGAACTCGGAAATATTTGCAGAGAAGTATTTATCCAGCGCTGAGAGTACGGAGAATCTAAAAGCATTTTCTCCTTTCTGTGGTTTCAGCTAAAATTATCTTTAATTATTTGAAAAAAGCTAAATTACATACAAAATAAAAATAATATCTGTCCTACTTTCTCTTTTTCACTCACAATAATACTAAGATTTATGATGTCTGAAGGCTCTTTTACATGACTGCTATGAGAGGGTAATTCTGCTGACGAGTCATCAGCTGTATTTGTGGTCAAGTTATTAAAAGCTTTATTACTGTAAATAACTCAATATTGCTCCTTCACTACTAAATCGTACTACAGCACAATCACATTAGTGATGCTAACAGATCATTATTCTGTGTTATCTTTTAAAGTATTTTGTTATATTTGTTAAATTCCCTTATATCCGGACACCAATCAATTAATGAAATGATCTGTTTTTATGCCTTACTCCAGGTCTTTAATAGGCACACCCAATCATTTATTTGGACCGCAGGAAGTAACCACAAGGCCAACGTGTGTGTACCTGTGAACTCATCGCATGTGACGGCAGTCTTGCACAAGGCAGCTTTGAGAGCGAACATTAGCCATTTTGTTTTTTTACGATCATAATGATAATGTTAGATGTTCTCTTACATCTAGTTGGACAGTTGGACAATCGTCGCTAACTTCATCAGTGCAGAATTTAAAACTGTTAGACCATTTTGCTCACAGTAAACGTTACCAGCTCCAAAAACTTTTTCTAAATATTTATTTGTGACATCAGCAGTTTAATTTACATGACTTACTTGATCAGATTTTGCCCACTTTATGATGTCGTAACGATTTTTGGGCTTGTGTAACCATTAGCCAATAACCAACCAAGGTAACCCCCCCCCCCCCACACCTTATCACCTGAATCTCCTCCTAGAGCACCATTGTGTTCTTTTTAACCAAATATCTCTCAGAGGGGCGTGGGGAGTGGCTCCTTATTTTCATCTAAAGTAACAGACAGAGAATCAGCACTTTTGAAACAGGGCTGAAACAGAGGGGTTTGTGGGATGCTACAATGATCTGTTTGGTGTTTGGAGCCAAACACTTCAGAGACATGTTTTTTATATATCTGAGACCTATAATATATTGATGAAAAACAGTATAATAGGGCACCTTTAAGCAGTATTTCTTTTCAACTATGAAGTTGATTTCCAGACTAGGAGGCGTTTCAGATTTGACCTTGGGACCCCACAGAGGGCAACATTCAAATGACCCAATTGGCTGATCAACTGACTGGATCCAATGATCAAGGTCCACAAATCTTTGGTGGGTCTTGGGAATTGCTATTTCATTAGCAGGAGAACCAATCAGAGCCTGTGATTTGACCAAATATTGGGGACATGCCAGTGTCAAACACTCCTTTTATTGCAATATTTTCTTTATCATATACATGGCTGCTGTGATCTCTTCCAACCAACGGCTGTACTGATTTAACATGTGTCCTAAAAGTGAAACTATTTGTAACCCCTTAGACAGCAGCATTCATACAAGTTTCATTAGCCCATCATAATTGTATGTGTTGCATACAAGGTCCATTAAAGCGTCATGATTCAGTACAAGAGAGAAATAAACATTGATCAACACTTTTCAAAAGCAAACGTCAGTCCAGAAGGCAACAAGTGGCTGGAGAGAGGTAAGAGTGTAAAATGTCTCTGGACGTCAAAGGGAAATAAATACAACGTACTATTCATGGTTAAATAAATACAATTACGCTTAGCAGAGCGATTCCAATCCTTCTTACATTCTTTCAGTCACCTTAACTCATACTTTCACTTCACTTTCACTCTTGGCACCCCATTATTAAAAAATACTAGTATTGTTAAATTCTTTTAGTCACTTAAAAAAATCATTTTGACTTTCAGTCTCCATCATGTTGACATATACTGACTCTCACACAGTGTTACTGTAGTTAGATCAAGTTAAGAATATGACCTCGTAAACTGTAATTGCATTATTTTAGTATAACAGTCAATACTTCGGATTATTCTTACTACATAAGGTCCATTTGAGCAAAAGTCAAACCACATCTATAGTCACCCATAATCCTCATATCAGTCAAATAATGTGAAGCAGATTGTACAGGCTAGGATAAGAGTCTCTCCACATCAAATTATGGTTAGCTCAGTGTCACTTCCAAACTCTTGAATCCTTCTGATAGCACTTTCTTCTCTCCTCATGTCTACATGCAGCCATCTTTACCTTCAGTCCGTCTCTTTGCCTTGCATCTTAACCGTCCATCCTTTCTATTCATTAAGCACCACCTCACATGTCTCTGTCCCTTCCTCCTGTGTCTGCACCTCCACCCCAATCCCTTCATCTTCCTCCTTCTCTGTGTCGATCTGTGCCACTCCCAGTCTGTACAGAGCGTCCCTGATCACCACCTCCCCCGGCTGGCAGGCCTTCACCACCTGGTTGATCTGCTCGCTCACAATGTCTCTGCTGGTGAGGAAATCTACCAGACGGTTGTAAAGGTAGTAGTATGCAGTGTTGGTAAAAACCATAGGTTGCCGCAGTGCACGGTTTGCTGAGTAACAGTCCTCTGAGGAGCCGTTCTCAGCTTTGTCCGTCTGCTCGTTCTGTTCTGCCCCCCCCCTCCTCCTCCTCCTCCTCCCCCTCCTCCTCCTCCTCCAGCGCAGCCACCAGGCCGGCGTAGGGCTCCAGGTCTCTGCAGAGGGACATGGAGTGGTGCTCTGAAGGGAGAGCTGCTCCGGGGGGATGAACCAACCAGCAACAAGACGATTTAGTGATGGGGTGGACCTGCTGGTTCTCTGCTGCCAACGACAGGTCAGCGCTGTACGGCTGCTCCTGAAGCTCTGCACACGACACAAACTAAAGAGGGGAGAGGTTGTCAACTCACTTTGTGCCTTCATCAAATATATATTAATACGGTATAGATGAGACATCCAGTTAATGACTGTGATTTAATATGATGTGAGTTAGTATAGTGTGTAATAAAAGCTAAGGCAAACACCAACATTCAGAAAACAAGATTGAAACCTCCTTTTACCAAATCTGAATTACTCTGAAGGACTCTTTTTTACGATTTCTGTTTTATATGGCTAATGTTTATTAATACAGGAAAACCTGGGCTACTTTTTATATGATCACAAAAATGAACATTTTAAAGCCAATCTTCAAAGGATGTGAATCTCTCATTTCTATGATTGGGCCTTACATTTTTACTATTTATTTTTATCAAGCACCATTTTTTCCTTGATAGATCATTGGATTTTATTTAAATCACTGACCTCTGGCTTTTCGAAAGGGTCAGAGAAGCAGCCTTGGTTCCTGCCCCACATCTGGGTGGCCTGTTCCGGGTACTGCATGTCGGCACAGAGCGCCACCTGGCGGGCGCAGTCACTGACGTAGACCGGGGGCCAGAAGCGGGACGACAGCAGCAGGTCGACGTGGTCACGAGCCGTCTCTCCTCTGACCAAACACTTAGAGCCGCACACCACCTGGAGACAGAAAGACAATGATTGAGTCCACAAGTTAACAAATACACAGAGACAGTTCAGTTTCACCTTTCATTGGGATTATCAAACAGATTTTTGTTTTTCATACATTACAGATTCTCTTTGAAGAGTGACATAGCTGCTGTTTTTACCTTATGGGGGCAGAGCTTGGACAGCTTCCCAGCCGTGAGGTGTGGAGGGGGGGGCTGCGGGGCCGTGGAGAGGCCACTTTGAACGAGTGTGTATAAGGAGATCAGAGAGGCCAGCAGCTCATCCTGACACAGAGGGAGACAGAGAAGAGGCTTTTATTAAGACCACCCCCCACACCCATGTGAGTGCACCAGAGAAAACCAAGTTAAAATAACACAAACACAGACGCATAAAGAAATAAATACCCTTACGCAAAGCACTTCTTGCCAGCCCACAGGGGGCCGGGGGGGGGCATTTCCTGTTGCTCACGCCAAGAATATATCACATATTAGTGAATCTATTGGTATTCTAGCGGGCATTTGTCAACTTCTTTACTAACAGTCTTTAACATACTTTAGCAGAAACACACACACACACATAAAAAATTGATATGCATTTATAAATGACTGCACTTTCTGAGGTCTCTGCTCTTAGCTGATGTGGTCTTTGTCCAACCACAGGGCCTCGAGAGGGTTTCTCAGGTCTCAAACCCAGCACTTTGAAGCAGCTCGGCCAGACAGTCCAGACAACTGCAGCCAAACAGGTACACACACACACACACACACGACACACACACACACACACACACACACACACACACACACACACACACACACACACACACACACACCACACACACACACACACACACACCACACACTACACACACCCTACACACACACAGCACACACACACACACACACACACACACACACACTACACATCACACACACACACACACACACACCACACACACACACACACACACACACACACACACCACACACACACACACACACACACACACACACACACACACACACACACACACACACACACACACACACACACACACACACACACACACACACACACACACACACACACACACACACACACACACCTTAGTGGAGCCCGGGGTGACGCTCGCCCTGCAGCTGCTCAGTATTGTTCTCAGCTCGTCCTCACTGTGATCTTCAATCTTGTCGAGTCTCAGCTGACCATCATGAATGAGACGCACCAAAGCTGAAGGATCTCCTGAAACAGGTGAGGTTATAGACAGTAGACACTAGTTAGGTTAGAATAGTAATAATCAAACAATGTACATCTGTACTGCATGGAAGAAAATCTTAACACGTAACACTAACATTGAATATGTCGAAACTGGAACACCCTGCATGACATTTGCATCATTATACTATTATATATCCGTAACACACAAAGCACATAATCGCACTGAATGTAATCATCTTGTGTAATCCCATTCTCCAAAAAGCCATTGCAAAAGATGACACATCATGATATAAAGAAAACTCTTTTTCTCTTTCCTTTCAGACTCCATAATAGCATAATTAGCATATACAAAAGATGAAACTGACTGGTGGTATAATAGAACGAGGTACCTGATGGCTGCTGTGTGTCTGGCAGCACTTTGTCCTTCTCCGTGTTGATGACAGTGGCACTCCTCATGAGGGGGGGAATAAAGGGGGCGATGATGGAAGCATCCACCCGTGTGATTGGGATGTCAGTGGGGAAAGTGGCTTGCTCGATAGCCTCACTTTCCATGGTCAACCAGAAGTCGTCCACGTGCACCTCGTCTGAGACCGAACACTCCGGCCAGGTAAACTGAGGGCAGAGTGAAGGGGTCACTACAGAAGCCTCTTCACAGGCTTACTTTCTTTAGGTTTTACATGTGGAAGACATACTGTTTAAAGGTCACCTATTATGCAAATTCCACTTTTTCATGTCTTTCATACATAAACATGTGTCCCCTCTGTGTGAAGAGATTCTGAAAGTTTCAGCAACAAAGATTCCCTCACTTTCTGTCCTGATCCATTTATATAAAAACCTGTCATGATGTCATAACGATGTTTTGACTTGTGTAACCATTAGCCAATCATCAACCAAGGTACACCCGCCCACCTTATCACCTGAATCTCCTCCTAGAGCACCATTGTGTTATTTTTAACCAAATATCTCTCAGAGGGGCGTGGGGAGTGGCTCCTTATTTTCATCTAAAGTAAAAGACAGAGAATCAGCACTTTTGAAACAGGGCTGAAACAGAGGGGTTTATGGGATGCTACAATGATCTGTTTGGTATTTGGAGCCAAACACTTCAGAGACATGTTTTGTATATATCTGAGACCTATAATATATTGATGTAAAACAGTATAATATAGGGGACCTTTAATACTAACCTTGCTTCACAGCACTAAGTATTTTGTGCTTTATTTACATATCAATGTTGTTGCATTAACCTCTCACCTCCACATTCTTTAGCTCCAGTACGTTTGTTGTGTGTCGCTGCGCAATCTCCAGTTTGGGAGCAACGCCACAAATGCCGCAGATCATGTCGTTGTAGTCGCGCACGGTCAGGCTCTCAAAGGCCCAGTAGCCACTCAGGAGAAACTCCAGAATCTGAGAGAACTCCTCTGCACTCAGAGAATGGACTGATGCGAAAGAGGGAGACACAATGAGATTCATAGAAAACCTACTTTAAAAACAGAAGACAAAAGATCACAAAGGATCAAAATACAAGACGAAAATTAAACCGTACCAGGGTGATTGGGGTTGTGTTCGAGGAGGGTCCTGGCTGCCTGGGGGGGGGGCTGGCCCAGTTTGATAAGGTCCCGGATCTTCAGAAACAGGTCGATACTAACAAGCAGTCTGTTCCCAACGTTGAACAAACCTGACACAAAAAATTAAAATCAACATTTCTATTTGGCTAGAAACAGGCCAAACCAAAAACAAACAAAAAAGAGACTTTTACCAGCTGTGATAATCATATTAATACATCAATACCTACAATAAAAACATATACTATATATTTTTCTGAAATGGGCCAAACTGCAGAATGAGTACTTTTACTTTTGTTACTTTAAGTACATTTTGATGGTAATACTTTTGTACTTTTACTTGTGTCACATTCTGAATTGAGGACTATTACTTGTAACAGAGTTTACCTATACTTTGGTATTCCTACTTTTAATTAAGTACAAGATCTGAGTACTTCTTCCACCTGTGAACATGAGCGACTGCCACTGGATGAGTCACTGTGAATAGTTGTGTATTTATAAATGATGCTAAAGTAAATAAGGCGACAAGTTCAGCACTTCACTTCAAAAATATATTTTTCCTTTTTGTATGTTCACTTGGATTTTTGTCTTCTACAGTGCAGGCACCTGGAAGTTGCATAAAAAAGGCTATTTGGTGCCTACCTTGGATCAAAAAAAAAAAAAGGCCAAACCACAGTTCTAAATAAATCGTCATCAGGATGAGCCGTGACTTTGCCCACAAATACATGAGAAATATTGTGGTGTGTAGCTTTGGTTTTTTGCACACAAATAAAACTAACCCTTGCTAAGCTGCAGCTAATACTAATTGTTTCTTGTACTAAGCAACAGAAAGTTCCTCTTCACATACAGAAGCCTCCACCTTGAAACAATCAGTCTGTTTTTTGGAAACTACGAGAAGAGATTTCTCGTAGCTTTGGATAAAAGCGTCCAACAAGTAACATGTAATGTAAAAGAGATATCCATAATTCCCAAAAAGTACACACATAATTCGATCTGTTGTGTTTGATAAAAAAACCTTAACAATGTACAAGTTGTGGTAGGTAGTGGCGTTTACCTGGATGCAGGTCGGTGAAGCTGTGCAGAGCCAGACACTGGACGTTGAGACACACCTTGAGCTGAAGAGTGACCGTCTGGATCAGAGTCTCAGTGAGCAGCAAGCAGTCCTCCTGTCCTGCCACAGTACTGCCATGGAACAGCACACACACACATAGGGATGCATTAGAGGACAGGACATCGACACAACGTACCGTTACTGAAACCAGAAGCAGGACAGTAAGAATACAGCAATCCTCTGACCTCTGACCTCCTTTAAAGAGAGGGTAGTGACACAGGCCACAGTGAGTAGCTTCTGATTCGTAGAACTGAGGCCACCCGGACTCCACCAGCGTCTCCGTCTCCGCGCTGCCCTCGTGCTCCTGGACACTCGGTTGAACCAGGACGATCTGAAGACTGTTGAGCTCCTGGATGAGGTTCAAGGTTTCCTGAAGCTCCGTCTCGCTCTCAGGAATCTGCAGGGATCGGTGCAGTAACTGCAGGGTGTTTTGGCGCTGGACGTCCCTCTGAGTAGGACTGAGGGCCTGGTACGGATCGAGCAGGCTCTCAGACTGAGGGAGTGGGAGAAAATATCCACATTACGATGAAATACAAGAGTATTGATATGAAAAATCTGCTTAAACAATGAGAAAGAGAAACTAATTCATGGTTTAAAAACTGCTCCGGGACACATAACGACGTTGAAGGGTTCTGGATTCAGCTGGAAAGTTGTTGAGAAGTTTCTGAAGGAAGTAAGCTTTCACCTTTGCTCCCTTGGCGTTCTTCTGGGTCAGCTCACAGCCACACTTAGGGCACACTGCGGGTTTGTGTCTGTTCTTATACATATAGTCACAGGACGGGTTCTTACACCGACCCCTTCCTCGTGACGTAGACAGTCCCAAATCCTAAAATAATTTTAAAAAACAGCAAGATTTACCTACAAATCAAGGAAAATATGAAACAACATTTATTGTGAGTGAAAAAAAAGGCATAGAGAAGAGAGGGATACTGACCAAGCTAGAAACGGAGTGTTTGAAAGGCAGGAAAGACAGGAAGTTCATTCTTCCATCAACCAATGAACACATAGGCTGGCTTCCATCTGCTGGGACAGAAGAATCCTATAGAAAGACATAAAGAAAGTGGGGATAATGGACCAAAATCTGCGTGCATATATATATATATATATATATATATATATATATATATATATATATATATATATATATATATATATATATATATATATGTGTGTGTGTGTGTGTGTGTGTGTGTGTGTGTGTGTGTGTGTGTGTGTGTGTGTGTGTGTGTGTGTGTGTGTGTGTGTACCTGTTTGGCTGCAGTTGTCTGGACTGTCTGGCCGAGCTGCTTCAAAGTGCTGGGTTTGAGACCTGAGAAACCCTCTCGAGGCCCTGTGGTTGGACAAAGACCACATCAGCTAAGAGCAGAGACCTCAGAAAGTGCAGTCATTTATAAATGCGTATCAATTTTTTATGTGTATGATAAAAAGACATGCCAATAACAAGCACTGATTGAACATAACATAAGCTGTATCCAAACCACAAACATGTATTATGTTAAGTATAGGCTGTTACAAACATAATCAAATGAACTACAGTACCAGAGGATGATTTATTGTTGTTTGCACTTTCTTTGTCAGGCGGGACAGTCATGATCTGGAACAAAGCCTGGCCTGGAAACACAAGACAATATGAAAATCTAAATGTTAAAACCTAATTCAACACACAGAGATACAGCCTTAGTGTGGTATGTTTTATCTTACCTGTGTTACAGAAGGCAGGAAGGATGGGTCTAACAGGCCTCTTTTGAACAGGGGCACTGCTTCTGTCGTGACCTTGGACTGTCGCTCCCTGAAGACCCTCTTTCATCTGCCTGCTCAGTGACAGATGGAAAGAACATCAAATGAGAAACACACTTTTGAAAATGTGAACAGCTGCAATAACATTATAACCCTTTTCAATCCATATTTTCTTGTTAGCTAAAGGTTTAAATTCTGCTTTTACACAGTTCAGCATTACAAATAAACAACAATAAATAACCTTTTATCACACATGAGTGTGAATATACCGGTATAGACTGTCACTTTCTTATTATAAAAAATAAAATACTGAAATGTTAATAATAAACAAGTGATAATGTTATGGTAATCAATCAAGCACCTGTTGATTTCTGTTTCTTTATCACCCTCACCCAACACCACACACACACAAACATGAGTGCAATTAATTTATTGCTATCCTGGCTTCAAAATGGTGGAATGAACTCCCCATTGAAATCAGGACAGCAGATAGCTTACACATCTTCCGGCGCAGACTGAAAACTCATCTCTTTCGACTCCACTTCGAGCGATAGAATTACTAACAAAGAATTGCTAACAAAGCACTTATATACTAATAAAGGACTGGCTTATCTAAAGCCAGTTGAGTAGCACTTTAAATGTTTTGGCTCTATTACATTACATTACATTACATTGCATTTAGCCAGTCCTTTATTAGTATATAAGTGCTTTGTTAGCAATTCTTTGTTAGTAATTCTATCGCTCGAAGTGGAGTCGAAAGAGATGAGTCTTCAGTCTGCGCCGGAAGATGTGTAAGCTATCTGCTGTCCTGATTTCAATGGGGAGCTCATTCCACCATTTTGGAGCCAGGATAGCAAACCAACGAAACCTGATGTACTTATATGATTCTGTTTTCTTCAAGTTTGTATCTTCTTGGTCGAATGCACTTATTGTAAGTCGCTTTGGATAAAAGCGTCAGCTAAATGCAATGTAATGTAATGTAAAAGTTCATAGTTTATATATTGCTATGATATCATTATCCTAAATCATTTTGGCCAAGATAATTGTGTTGTGATGATACCAAGCCTAGGTTTGTGCACTAAATCTGCAAATGGTGGATAGCACAGTTTTAAACACAATCCTCACAAAAACATGCTTTTGGGGCCCATTATGTAGCAAACAGAACATACTTCATAGGTGCTTACTTTGTTTGTTCCTGCTCCTTGGTGCTGCTGCCCTCTGCTGGCCTCACAGCTGGAACCGCATGCTGCTTTCGGGAGCACCGTTTGACTTGCCTTCCTCTTTTGCTCCCAGTGGAGTCTGTTTTTCCCAAATCAGCATTCCCCTCCTGAGCAGGGGAAGGTGTGGGCTGGCAGCTTGCATTAGTTTTGGTACGAGCTCTCGGTAGGAGTTGCCTGGACGCAGCTTCTTTCGCTTGTGTTTTCTTTACCTGACATAGAAACACAGGCAAAGTTAATTAACCGGAACTGTAGGTCAAAGGTTGAGGATGAATCTTTGTACGACTCGTGGATGTTCATATACATAAAGATTGAACATCCCAACTCTGTGCAGACATTGCTTTACACTTACAGGAGGTATCCATTTCCCCCCCAAGTGGCTCCCACATTCAGGGCACGTGGGTGGTTTGTGGCGGGTGACATACACAAATGAACATCCAGGATTTAGACACCTTCCTCGACCTCTCCGGGTGTATGTCTTTAAAGACTGAAAATGGGAGGAAAACAAGTTAATGTATCTCAGCTGTTACTGCTACATTACAGAACCCAATTACTTTAATCCTAAATAATGATATTATTCATGTAGACACTGTGCTTGCCAATTTCAGTAATGACATTTATAAGATTGATGAATAATGAGGGTGCTTACCATTTTATAGCAAGGATTGGCACTTGGGTCTCTGTTCACTGGGCCCACGGAGCCAACACTTGGCAAAGACTTGGGCTCGAGCAGGTTCTGAAGTGATGGACAAATCACTTCAGTGCATTAGTAAAATCACTTCTCTGTGATTAAAAGCCCTAATAATTCTTTAATAAATTAAGCTCATTTTGCTAATTGGTAGAAGGACATTTAAGTCTCACCTGGAAGGGTATGATGGCAACCATCGGGGTAGTTTCCCCCTGTACCTGCTGCACCATGGCCCCACTGTAACCACTAGCAGCAACTGTTGTCTCATTTCCTTTCAGCGTGACCCCGTTTGCTGAGAGGCCAGCAGAGACCTGGGAGACATGTTCGTCTGTGGAGGCCAGAGCTTTGCATGAAACAGAGGAAGAAGAGGAGGGTGGGATCCCTCGGGTGTCGGAGGGATTAGACGATACTTCCGTTTCCTCTGCAATGTTGTCGACAACAATGGCCTGCTCACAAAGCTCCACCTCACCGGCCAACACAAGAGGTGTGGGCTGGGGCTCCTGGGTGAGAGTTCCCTCCACATGAGGGTCCAGAGACCCTGCGCTCACCTCTGCCTGAGAGCCCAGCTGCTGATTTGAGGAGCCGCCTTTAGACAGGAGAAAGTAACTGCCTCTGGGGAGGATTTTGCGGAAGCCTGGCAAGTCTTTGGAGAGACTGGGAGACGACTGAGGGAAAAGCAGAATAAAGAATATTGTTCATGGCTGTCCAGAGAATCACTCGACAATATATAAGACAACACTATATTAGCAGGAAAAAGCTGTTTTATCTCTGCTGTGGTACTTCATTTAAATGGGCCACTTCATTCTAACACTAGTTTAGCTTGCACAAGTCAAATGTGTTTATTACAAATTAAATCAGTTATAATATCAGTAATAAAATCAGCTATCAAATCAGTTATTCTAGACTTTTCAGCAACTTGTTTTGCCCTTTTTGAAAATAAAGATGATTAATGGCCGCTATACTTTTAAGTTAGAGTTGCACTTGGCAACAACCATGTTTACTGATAGGTGATCAGTAAACATCAAATAAAAGCAGTAAGAATATTTGACCATGGAAAGAATATATATTTTACACAGCTCGAAAATTGTTAGTGTTATTAGGCCTTTTATTTGGTGAAATGAAAGGCCTAATGGACACTCAGTACAGTATTGATTATGTAAAACAGTTGAGGAAGTAGCTTACTGTATCTATGCCCTCCTTCTCAGACTTGGCCTTCTCCAGATAGTAACCTTTCTCAGCAACGCTGAGCCTTTTCCAGCTCTCACTGATTCTTTTGTTAATCTCTGACTGTGGTAGATTAGGGATTTCCTGTTGCATAATCTGATGAACATCAAAGAAGTATAGAAGAAAGGCAGACCTAAGAGACAGACAGAGTACAAGTACAATCAGAACAAGCAAATGTAGGAGTCATTTCTCTCTTTTTAGAGGCTCTAAACACGTCTATAATGTTTTTTCCAAGATATTGTAACATCTGTGAATGAAAGTCATTTGAGCTAGTATGGACATTACCTGGGTTTCTTAGATTTCTCAACACTGTCTTCATGACCTTTGTTTTTCCTCTTTTTTGGGGTTGTCATCTTTATTTGGCTGTAGAAGCTCTCCACCTCCTCAGTCACTTTCACAACCTCAAACACCTCCACTTTCTCCATGAACTCCAAAAGGCTAAAGGCCAAATAGAAAACAGTATGAGATTAGTTGGTTGTTCATGTTTAAAGTTTAAACATTCACAAAATGTAGAGTTTTATCAGATGTTGTATCAGACTACATGCATTTTGGCTGAAGTAATGTTTATTAAATACATATTGCATTGCATAATAATATGCATTTCATATATGCTAACGCCCTACTTTGTAGACCCTAGAATGTTTCAACTGAGACATGATTGTGCAGCATCACTCCTCTGCAATTAAATGACAGCACTGAATTACTGGAGTTTATTATAGTTGAATATCTCAGCTGATGAGTCAGGGGAAAAGATAGATCCTATGTCTAATAAAAGCCACACACAGTGGTAGAGAATAACTACGGGCTGGTACTTCATGCAGAGAAAATATAGCACAACGGTGTCTTAGTAAAAAATAAAATCGGGTCATGCATGAGGCTCTGAGAGTCTAACAGAGTGCTAACATGTTAAAATCAATGGTCCTTCCCTGCTTAAAAGTGGGTTTAATGGCGTGTGCTTATACTGCATGCACAGCCAGCGAGTTAGCCAATGAAATGCCTTCTTATTGAAGCCTTACCTACGATGGCTCGGAGCTCTACAAACACCTTTAGAAGTCGCCGACACAGTCATGCATTGTCCTGAAGGTAAGTAATGCCAACACCAGGCTTTACTTTATATTACATTAAGGATTGGCGATACATAAATGTCTGTTAAGTATTTTTCGTTTCTCGTCGACTTGTAAAAAAACATGGCGATTTGTTGCTATGGTCCTCAACCAATCAAATGCCATAATAAACAGCTGCGGGCCAATCACGGAAGACGTTTTTAACACGTGAAAGTAACTTGTGCGTCCCATGATGGTCCAATTGGCGTTATTCCCCCCCCCTACCGGTTTTGCCTCAAGTCCCGCCCTTCTATGCTGTGATTGGCTCGTTACTTCCATCCGCCTTTGTGATTGGATGAAAGCTCAGCCGTTTTCCTCAGAGTCGTAGGCGGTAGTGTTTTCGGGTTATATGTCTCCATCAACTGCTTCAATCATAGGTTTCTAACTACCAGCGGCGCCGTCCTATGTCCTAAAAGCCCAAATTGCCAATACAAAAATGGCACAAACCTACAAACACTTTAACCCAGACCAAACTAATCGAACCGAAAGTGTCCGAGGCCTATGAGTCGATCACTGATCACCCCAATGAGCAAAAATGGCGGGTGACAAGGTGAGTGAGTTCTGTGTTCTTGCTTCAAATGTATTATTATTATTATAAGTGTTTCTTTAGGTGACTGCATCTGCAAGAGGAGGGCGAGAAACATGTTATTTTCAGCAGCAATTGGCGGTGTGAAATTACATTTCAAGGATGATGGTCGCTTGTAAATTAACTTAATCTATCCTTGAGCCGGTTATAAGTTCGGTAGCCATTAACGGTAGCTAACCATCACACTTCGACAAAAGGAACAGTTTTGTTACAGAAGTTTGCATGGTTTATATGCCAGCAACCATAACTATAAGCTAAGTTTTACACCAACGTTAGTTATCCTCAGTTACATTAAGTTTTGTTACACTGTTTTCTTATACAATTGTGATGCATTACTTTTATTTTAGGATCCCCTGAAACAGTTGAAAGATCTGACGAAGCTCAAAAGTCAGTTGGAGGAAATCCAGAGGCGAGTGGAGAACGAAGTGACACTAGGAATCCCTCAGGTGAGATAAATAACCTGCACTGAACGACTTCCACCCACACTGGTACCTGTGTTACCGTTTAACTGGTGACGCGGGGGAACTCGTGACGTTCTATAAAATACATATACACATTTCGATCGCTTCTTTTGGTATATTTGGCTGGATAGGAACACTTTGATGCACATTCAGTACCAGTGTGTGAGGTTGTGGTTGCGATGCCGATATCCGGACGCGTACAGCGAGGACTACAAAAAGACACATGAGGTGACTGGGGATGTGTGTGTTCAAAACATTGCACGCTTGAATAAATCATTTAAACCAGTTATTTTTGCCAGACTTATTACTGAATATCGTTCTTAATGTGATACCAAGTCCATCTGAGACTCGTGTACACCTTCAGACAGCCTCCAAGTGAAGCACACGTTGTTTACTCACAGTTTGAAAGCAGCGTGGAGAAGTCTTCAGCTGTGGAGCTGTGATCCGCCCAGTTTAACTTGTGATACGACTTCTGTTCTGTGGCTATCAACCAGCAATCATGTTTAATATTAAAGACTACACACATGTATCCCTTATCAAAACGGTATTCTGCACTTTGCAGCACTTATCCAGATAAGATGTGACTGTTTACTCGTTTTGCAAAGATAGCAGCAGAAATGTCATTGCTGCATGTGCAGGGATATTTAGACTGTAAAATGCTGCTTGGTCATTAATTTTGGTCTCCGCAAACAATATTATGAATCCTCTATTCAAACATATAATTCAGTGTCCATCGACATGAAAATAACTAAAAAGTTCATGCTGGACTCAAACCCGAGTCCCAACAGCAAATATCACTCTAGTCCTGCGCGTTGTGAGTGAGCCACGAATCATTACGACATATTAGTTCATCACAGCTGAATTTTTACACATTAACATTGTTAAAAGATTCAGAAAAATGCAAGCCAACCATCATTTATAATGCGAGCGAATTTATGTACACTTAAGCCATATAATATACATATTATAGTAGGCATTTGCTTTTAAATAGTATACTGACTGAGGTCTGTATCAAGTCTCATTAAGACCCACCGAGATCAGATATCCTAGTTTATCAGCCTGCGAGCCCACATTATGTTGTGATAAGTGGTAATTTTACATATAAATGTATTCCAGTGCACACATTAAGTTATATAATATAAATATAAAATATGCTAATCAGGCCATGTGTTTCGTTATGTAGTATAATCATCACCGACAGATGGAAAGACAACAATAACAAGGAATTCATATTAATATTACCAAGTTACACAGAAATAGATACAACATATAAGACAAAATAACACAAAGATAAACGTTAAGATAGAAACGAAAACATGTTCACAGCAGAGTAAAAATTATGAATATATGGGTTTGTAGTTCTCAACGTATGCGAGTATCCTCGTCATTCGGTTTGTGTCGCTGTATCGATGCATAACGAAAGTTAACCAAGCAGAATACCGTTTTGATAAGGGATACATGTGTGTAGTCTTTAATATTAAACATGATTGCTGGTTGATAGCCACAGAACAGAAGTCGTATCACAAGTTAAACTGGGTGCATCACAGCTCCACAGCTGAAGACTTCTCCACGCTGCTTTCAAACTGTGAGTAAACAACGTGTGCTTCACTTGGAGGCTGTCTGAAGGTGTACACGGGTCTCAGATGGACTTGGTATCACATTAAGAACGATATTCAGTAATAAGTCTGGCAAAAATAACTGGTTTAAATGATTTATTCAAGCGTGCAATGTTTTGAACACACACATCCCCAGTCACCTCATGTGTCTTTTTGTAGTCCTCGCTGTCCGGATATCGGCATCGCAACCACAACCTCACACACTGGTACTGAATATGCATCAAAGTGTTCCTATCCAGCCAAATATACCAAAAGATTAATGTAAACGACAGAAGAAGCGATCGAAATGTGTATATGTATTTTATAGAACGTCACCAGTTAAACGGTAACACCTGAACAGTTCAATGTATATTTAGCCTTGCTCACATATCTGTATATGTAAATTCACCTGATCAGAGTTTAACTATTTTTGTTAATTCTCTTATTTTATTATTATCTTCATATCTCTGTGTATATTCCTATGTGTACTGCGTGTGTTTCTCTTTTATTCTGTTGCTGCTATAACACCTGAATTTCCCTACGGGATCAACAAAGGTCCATCTTATCTTAAATGCGACCACACCATTTTAAATATTTAGTCGATGGTGAATTTAATTCCCATGGTTAATAAATACAAGTTTGCCTTTTTGTGAGCTGGTTGTTAGCCCCTCATTCACCTTTTGTGTTAATGCAGTTAAAAAGCATTGAGTTTATTTGATTCGTTTTATCTTATGACTTCCTTAAATATCCCCTTGTGATTCTTTTGTATAGCTATCTTTGACCATATATCTTTTTATTGTGCTTAATTAATTCCCCTACTTGTAGCCTACTCATCAATGTGTTAAACATTCTGTATGGCATTTCTGATGCTAATATTTTCTTCCACTTGTAGGGAGGCTCAGTGTTGGGATCACCATTTCTGAAGGGCTTTCTGGCCGGCTATGCGGTGGCCAAGCTACGTTCCTCTGCCTTCCTGGGACTACTAGTGGGTACAGCCACTGGTATATACGCGGCACAGAACTATCCAGTGCCCAACATTGAACGGACGGTGAAAGACTATATAAACAGCTTGAAGAAAGGACCAAAATAATTTGGGCTGACTGTTAGTTTGGTCAGTGAAATAACAAGAAAAAGAGATGCAGCTGCTGCCTTGACAGAGCCTTGTGACGGATCAGCCTTCAAGTAAACTTGACTATGAATATAATGACATAACTGGAATTGCATTGGGGACTCAAAGCAAAAGACTTCAGTTTTTATTAGCATTTTGTTTCAGGTTCAGTTAATTACTGCCATTTAGTTTCAGCTTGTATATGTTTGATGTTAGCACAAAATGGAGGACTGTATTTCAAGAGTGCTTGGTCCATCAGATTATAAAAAATGTCTGCTGCCTGGAGCAGTTATCTAGGCATGTTAGAATTTAAATTGGTCATGTGCAAAACATGCAGTAATTCCTCCAAGTGTCTGTTACACCCTTATTGTTCAGGTTCAAATATATACACAAAGTATTACAAAACAAAGAGCTTCTACGTATTTTGTAATAGATATTGAAATGGTTGAGAATTATAGCTATTTATTTTTTTGCACTATAGCTAGTATTCAGATTTGTTAAAGTTACGAGTTTGTTTTGAGTCATAAAGGATGATTGCGGTCCAGAATATTGGGACCAGATCCCCAGCAAGGATCAGGAGACAGTGGGTGAAAAGGGTTCTGTGGGGGGTCCTCTTTGGGCTGATGGTCCTTATCTATGGCTCTCATGCCCCACTCATCACCCTCACCAAGGTGGATGGTCAAGTCCCTTTCAACCCATCATCATGTGTTTTCATGATTGAATTATCCAAACTCCTGGTTTCTCTGGCCTCTCTTGTTCTAACTGAGGGTACATCCGCCTTACAAGCTCCTCCACCTCTCCTCCGTGTGGCCCCCTACGCAGTCCCTGCCCTCCTCTACGCCCTCAACAACAACCTAGTGGTTCTCATGCAGGCCTACATGGACCCAAGCTCATACCAGGTCCTTTCTAACCTGAAAATTGCCTCCACCGCCCTGCTGTACTCCTTCTGCCTGGGCAAGAGGCTCCGTCCTTCTCAGTGGTTAGCTCTGGGGCTTCTCATGTGCGCAGGGGTGTGCCACAGCTACAGCAGTCTGGATCTAGGAGACCCCGGGAGGGTTGAAGCGGAGGAAGGTCCCAGGATTCATATCACAGCTTGGGGGCTTTTCCTTGTGCTGGTGTACTGCTGTGTTTCAGGGCTGGCAGCAGTTTACACAGAGAGGGTCCTGAAGAGCCAGAAGCTGCCCCTCAGCCTGCAGAATATCTACCTCTATGTGTTTGGTGTGGCCATCAATGGGCTCTCCTCCTTCTCCTTTATAACAGGGGAGAAGAGCTTTCTGGAGGGATACTCTGGGGTGGTTTGGGTTATTATAGTGGGGCAGGCAGCCAACGGACTCCTCATGTCTGTGGTGCTGAAGCACGGCAGCGGGATCACCAGACTGTTCGTCATTTCCTGCTCCATAATGGTGAATGCTCTGCTGTCTTGGGCCATGTTAGGGCTGCAGCTCACGCCTTTCTTCCTCCTACCTGTTTCTATGATTGGACTGGCAGCTTACCTTTACTACAGATAGTAAATAACTGAACCACAAGGCTCATTGAACTCATGACAGTCTACCTGTACCTGCTAGTTTTTCAGATGGGATTTGTTTTCTGCCTTATATCTATCTGCCTTCTGAAATCCAGAATCCAACACATAACCATAAACCAAATAAGTGAACATTTATTTCAGCTGAGCTCTTATTCCACAGTTTGCATCATATTTTAAAATGTATCATGTCATACTGATGTAAGTCCATTGAAATAATAATGCAAGTTTGGGGTATAATATCTTCAGTTCAACATTTCTGAAGAGTGCTGCTATGTCTATTTGTATTTCGTTCTCTGGCCAGAACACTGTCAAAGATAATGTCATGGTGTTATAAAGTGTGTTAATAAATAACATTGTTTCAACAAATGATGTTTTGTTTCCAATTTCATATTAAGCACACAGATTCAGACTTTTAATTCATATATTTATTGTAGTTGTGATGACAGTTCAGCAGTAGGATCACCTCGCACAGCTAGAGTATCCTTTAACTCTCCGAGTGCTGTAAAATAAATATATATTTTGAATGGTGGTGGGAAACAATGTCTTGGCATTCTGACACATTTTATGAGAGTGATGTTGGGGTAATTCTATCTATAATGTAACAGCAGGTAGTCCTACACACACTGACCTTTACGGAGCTGTCTGTTGTCCGCCTGCAGCTGCTGGTTCTGGGCCGACAGGTAGACGGCGTCCTGCACCGCCTCCAGCAGCACGCTCCGGTACCTGTGCTCAGACATCCTCCTCTGCTCCTCACACACCTGACGAAACACTCTGAAAACCTGCAGAGCAGTCAGAAAGTTAACACAAGAACGTATGCTACTATATTGGATATGTTTTATATAAATCTTTAATAATAGAGGAATATTATTTTAAGTAAAAACCACCTGGACACCTAAATCCTATACATCGACTTTTTCTTATCCGTAGGGAACATAGGAGTTAACCAAAAAGTGAAACACTACCATAAAAGTTTACAGGCAAGATTACTTGATTAATAGTCTTTTCTGTGTTTTTCACTGACTTAAAGGTCTCCTATTATACTATTTTTAGGCATATATTATAGGACTTTTTTTACACATACTCTCTCCAGTACAGCGTTAGCTCTGAGTGTTAGCGATGCTTGCTAATGTAAACACAGACCATATTACTTCCACAACAGGTAGCGCATTGTTTCTATTAAGTGAGTAATGTCGTCATGACCGCAGCAAATCTGGATCAGCTCCGTTTTTAGAGATGTCGGTAAGGAGGAAAAGAGAGAGGGTTTTATTTTCTGACACATTGTGAGTCTCCTGACACACAGGGGACACATATTTATGTATAAAAGACATCAAAAAGTGCATTTTGCATAATAGGTGACCTTTAAACAATTTGTGAGCTACTTAACAAAAATGTGTACAAACTACATAATTCTTAAGATCTCAACGTACTTAATACCGCTCATACCATAAGCGGTATAATACACATCAGGCCTTTGTTTGAGAATCCCCTATATAATCTAAAACACTGGTTAAACTAGTAATAACTCATGAAATGAAACTGTGACATTGGTTGACTCAGTGTCCTCTCACTGAAACAACAGACCCCCACCTGCAGGCTCTCTTCTCTGAGACAGTGCAGCTCTGTTTGGTGTTTCTGATATAGATTCTGCAGGTCGGTCTCAGCCTGCTGGGCCTCGTCGCGCAGGGCCTCCATCTGCAGCACCAGGACCCTCCTCTCTCCGCTCAGCACCAGTAGCTCTCTCCGGGGGCCTTCTGTCTACCGGAGGAATGGATGAAACCATAAAAAATGCAGGGGAATAACAGCATTAAGTTGCAAATGCTGTGGTTTTACCCTGCCCACAATAAATCCAGCCTTGCATTAATTTAAACTGACTCAGCATCCTCAGCCAAGATAGATCACTCTCTGAATAATATTAAGCAGCAGTGAATCTCATTATCTCACCGGTAGCTGTTCCTGAGCCAAGTCTCTCTCCATCTTCTCCACCTCCTCCTGAATTAATCTCCCGTGGTCCTCTTTAAGTTGTGTCCTCCGTTCCTGTGCTTTGCTGTACTCCAACTCAGACTCAAATTGGAAAAATAAATTAGTGTGTGCTGCCAAATCTCGCACATAAATCGTGTTAATATGTTTAAGGCTGTATTCACAAAACCTTGTAAACAATGTATCTAATCAGAAGTGCAGGCGAAAAATATCATGTTTAATGGATGGAATGCATTACTTGTTGACAGAGGTCAGATTTCTCAGTCGAGGCCCCGTTCTTCAGCGTCTCCTCTCTCAGAGCCTCCCTCAGCTGCTGGATTCTTGCTACTCTCTCCTGCACTTTCTCCACATTCCCTTTACCCTCTGTGGATTTAAGAAACACACATAAAAAACATGAACGATGATCTTATATACGAACTGTTTTAATAAATCAGCAAGTTACCTCTGATATGTTTTTCCATTTCTTGTTTCAGTTGGATTTGTAAATGTTTCATGTTGTTCGTACTCTCTCTACTATCTCTGCTGTGCAAATGGATACTCGGGGTTCGACAACTCTGTCAAATGAATGCAAAACTTGAGTTATGAACACATCATCTGCTTAATACATATATGTTAAACTTGTGGGGATATGTAAACAATAGGAACCTGTGTTTTGTCTTTTATTTTCTTTGACTCTTCCCTTCTCTTCTCCCAGGACTGATCTTTCACAATCTGTCAGTGAGCATCAAAATGTGTTTGTGTTAATGTTGTCCCCAATCTAGAATAAATATATTTATATAAGGATAAAGAAATAATAAAGGAATATGTATGTAAAATGATGTGCATTTTACTCAAATATACTACATAACAACAATTAAAATAAAATAAAAGACGTATAAGAAATATAAAAAAATGTGTATACCACACACAGCTTTATTTTATATTTAAATATTATTATTTCAGCCATGAACTAGGTGAGAAGCCCCATTTTATTATAAGCTTCTCTTGTGTATTACCTGCAGGTTTTGGGTCAGCTCAGCTAGCCTGATGGTGTTGTGAACGTCATTTCCCCCCTGTGACATCATGACGGCTCTCTGATCCACGATGCTGTCTCTGATCATTTGCTCTGTTGCCCTTGGAAACCAGCGGTTAACAGAGGCCTTAGTTACCAAACTTCTTACTGTCTGGGCCAAAGCTAAAGCGGAGGGGGTTTCATCGTCTAAAACACCTGATGGGTAAAGAGAGAGCGTTATTTTTATGCTCGGAGAATTGCATTGGTGGAAGAAGTGATGTGATACTTCAGTTAAAGTACTAAAAGCACAACTGAAAAAAACAAAAAAAACAATTTCTGTATTCAAAATCTTAATTAAGTTCATAATAATCAGGACATTTTATTTAAAGTATAAAAGTATAGTACTAATTATTTAGTTGTTACATCAATATATTTTATAATATTAGAATATAATTTATATTACAATCTTATCCAGTAGTATGCAATAGGCATTCTTACATTGCAACTGGCTGCAAGACCTATTTGTTTTAGCTTTAAATACTGTTGGGTAATCCAATTTATTGTATGCATTGTAGTTTATAAACACATTATAGGCATTTAAAATGTAATCTGAAAAGTAACTAGTATAGTCATAAAAGATCGAGTTGTTCGACAATATATCCTTCTGATAATGTAGTGGAGTAAAAGTAAAAAGTAGCATCAAATGAAAAAGTAAGTAGTGTAAAAGTGTCTCAGAATTGTCCTGAGGTACAGTACTTGAGTAAATGTACTGATTCCTCCTCTGATTATGGGTGGGTTGGTCCCAGAGCAGCACTTACCCTGAGGGTGGAGACAGTAGACGAGCACCGTCCTGCTGTTTCCTGTTAGCGCATCATTTAGGAGGGAGGGGAGGATCTTGTCACTAGTTGTGGCTTCACTTTGGGTTTCCTCCACCACCTTCACCAGTGGGCTGACTCTGGAAATATTGTTTTAATGCAAGAAAGGAGGACTTTCATGGCAGAAGTCTTGTATGACATTGAACATACTGTAACTCTGTTTACATAGAAAACAAATGACATTGTTGATTTGACTTGATTAATATTGCTTTGTCACAGCAGATATTTTGACTTGTCATGCATTAACATTGGATTTGTTCTATTAATACATCCCTGTAAACCAAGACAGTGTGGCAAAGATCTAGCATGCACAATACCAGGATGCTGAAACAAGAGCAGCTGAATAGAATTCAGAGATTATGAATCAATATATCGTATATAATGTAATCAGCTTTTTCTTTTGTTGTCCTTCATTATGACTTGCTTTGCCACTTTCTTCGAGCTCTTGAATTGACCATGATCACCAACTATGGACATCTCAAAAACATTTAGACAAAGCTGAGTATCATTTAAAGTGTCTCTGGTCCATGTCATTGATGGCTCACTGTACTGTATGTGAGTGTATGACTGACCCTCGGAGGTCCGTCCTGCTCGCACCTCCTGCCAGGCTGAACAGCTGCAGTCTGCTGCGGCAAACGTCTGACTCCACCTCTTCTGGATGGAGTTTCCACTCAACAGCTACAGAGAACAGGGAACTACATCTGAAGGAAGAACGCAACACAAACATGTAGAGACAATACCATGAACCACAACTGCTCCATGACCATCCAATCACTGATGGGACATTTATCTCTATTGGGATCCACCTTTGTGAATAATCCATTCAAAGCAATTTAACTAATGGATTGAGACGTATTTAACCTGTGCTTTACCTGCTGGAAATGGAGCCTGGATTGGCCTTCAGTGTGTCCCTGCATGTTTCATACAGAGTGTAGGCTTCTTCTGCTGAACACACACACACCTCACATAAACCTCCTATGAGACTGAGGACAAAAGACAAATATGTTCAAAGGTTAAATGTACAAGTGTAAGAACATGGAAAATAAACAACAAACACAATTACAAAATGAGCGTAAGATACTTATTTCACTCACACTTGTGCAATAACAAAATAAATATATAATTTACATGTATGGTGGATAGATTATTTTGGAAAAGACGAAGTGATCACTAAGACAGGTTTTGAAAAGATTGAGTATTTTTTGGATTTAGATCTTTAATTAAAACTTGTGAAAAATGGAAGCAATACCAAAAGCGTGAAGTGTACTATGTGTTCTGTGTTTATCTTGATCAGTAGTCATCTAGAATCACCTTCCAAGGACGGGGTGTGCCACACGTTTTAGAGTCTCTCTGTTGGGGCTCAGAAGATCCACAGCACTGCCGTCTGGATAAAACTGACAGAGACAGACATCAGATGTTATCTTTCACTATATTGCATCCAATATGATTTATGGTGATGCTGTTAAATAGAAGGACAAACCTGAAGGAACGACACAGAGATGAACAGCTCCTCTTTCACTTGTGACAACACACGACTAAACAGATCTGTCAAGACCTAAGACAGAGTTAGGAGGAGTGAGAAAACATAAAATCGGCCAATATTAGGTGCAGTTTTGTTTTTTGCTCTACCTGTTTGATAATGCTGTGGTCAATCAGAGGGGTCATATTCTCCAATGAAGCTCCTCCACATATCAGCAGCGCTCCATTATAACCACCAGATATGGACTCAGTGAGAGGCTGCAGGAGCTCAGGGTGGAAACTCTGAAGATTTATATTCAGACTTTTAGTTTCCACACATCCCAGAAATGTGGTGAGGACAAGCTGTAAAGCGGCTGATTGGAGTAAAGCTGCATTATTTCAATGACATTGGTGTGAATCAGATCACCTGTATGTTGTCCACAGTCACAACGTGGTCGAAGGAGAAGGACTTAACTTCCTGATTGGAAAACATAAAACAACAGTAAGAGGTTTTAAAAAGCAAATTGTTGTTGAAGCTGATTCAAATGTTTTACCTCATCTGTCCGCAATTTGTATTCCAAACCATGTCCTTCCTCACAAATAACCATAGAGTCTTTACCCCAAAAAAAGAAAAATAACATTCAAACACAAATCCCAAACAGCAGAACTAATATAAATATTACATTTATCGTAGCTTTACCTGGGACTGCAGTGAGTATAACTCCCACTCTCACTGTGTCAGCTGCCTCACACATCTGGAGAAACATGTAAAATGGTCAAATATGTTTCGAACCAAGCCATTCTTGATCCCCCCCCCCCTTTTTTTTATTAAATCACCCTAACGTTGTTGTCAAAAGCAGATACTTACAGCTGTATTCATGTTCACAGTTGCCATCCCGTGTCGTTGTGTCCAACAGCCAACAGGTCCCTTGGGTTTTTGTTACACTGTACTGAAATATTGATGAGTCAGAATCCACTTTCACTGGTCTGGGTGTTCAGGGTGAAGTTACCCAGATGGACAGAAATTCACCACAAAATATTGAAGTGCCACCTTATAATACGCCAGCCTTTACAAGGTGGTTATTAGCTTTAATTAATGAGCTTTTTTAGTAGAGGTCGTTTATGTTTTGATTCATATTGCTTTATAGATAAATTATTCTTGCAAATCATTGTTTCCCAGGTTCCCGGGTGGCAACAATGCAGTTAAAACATTTAAAAATCATTTTTTCTTGCTTTAAGTTTTCAACAAACTGATTTTGGTTGAGCTCCTCTAGAGTGTAGTAAAACAATACAATCTTGACCCCCGAAAGCTCTACTTATTATTGGCCTGTAAGTCATTTATACATTTTAGTCTAATAGCCAATAATAAAGTATTTGTTTAAACTGAACATAAACTATGCCTTTTATAACTAGTACATGTTTGGGTTTGTGAAAACAAAATGTCTAAAACCAGGTGAAAGCTGAAACATGAAACTTCATACCAGAAACCGATGGTGGAAAATTCAGGAGCATTGCATCTAATCATTTTAAAATGTATTCGGTATCATTCATTATTCTAAAGCTTACACAACTGTTTAATATTATAACATGATGAGGGATGAATATTGTATGAACAATGCAAAAGTTGTATTAGGAAAACTTTATTGAGCATTCTTAACACAAACACATAGAAGAGTCACTTACTCATAACAACCCTACATGGTCAGCTCACCCAAATTACAAAAAACCCCACCATATTCTCTTACTCACCTCTCATATATATATATATATCCATGCAGATATTATTTCCTTTAAATAGCTGGAAGTCATTTAAGGTGCTGACGGCACATACAAACATAGAAAACATTTAACAGCGATATCTCTTTCCAGAAACAGTGTACCCATTTCTCTGAATAATCCACAGACTGCACAGTACACTTTACTGGATTTACTACTTTCTAGCAAATTAATCGTTTTAATAAAAACTGGTGGTATGTGGATTATCAGAACAACAAAGGACATTGTATATGGAAAGAGTCTGGCTTTTACATTTTTGCATGTAATGTTACAACGCTGTGTAAACCGCAAAACAAACTAACATGACTAACACGACAAACCTGGACCATCTCTGTCTCTTTATTATTAGAAGTAAGTTTGAAGAATACATAATTTGGAGAAAACAACCCTTAAAGCATTATTTAAAGACAAACACGTTTTACACATATACTTTAATATACTGTATATGATATGAATAGCTTGGTTAAAATCAGAACACTCTGTAATTAAAAAAAGCAACACAGTGTAACAGGGATCTAATGACTTCATAATAAGTGGTCAGCAAAATGGTTCAAATCAACAGATAACATGGGAGTGCACTAACTGATCAGCAATCAAAACAATTACTTAATGCTGGTCTGGATCCAGCTTAAATTCTCAGATTTCTCCTGCCTGCAAAGCTTGATGAAAAGAAACCCACCACACTTTGCTTCATTCGCTTCCCTAATCTGGAAATAAAGAAAAAAAGACAACATGTATGATATGTCACAAGAAAAACACGTTTGTGAATAAACACCTAAACTATAAATCCACTAAAAAACATCCTGACAGATGCACTCACCATCAGGGATGAGGGTCTTCTGCATCAGCATAGGTGCAAAGCCCATACGACGAGGAATCCCTGAGGATAAAATAACAAGGAAAAAGGTGAGACATGTAAATTCACAGAGTCTACAAATGCAGAGATGAATCAAAAGTCCTTCAATCTACGTCTCCTACCTGTCTGACAATCGGGGCGGCCGCGCATCTGGGTGCCCTCGACGGTCGTGCCCTCTGAGTCCACACACCAGCAGTAGCCGGTGCCGTGCCAGCACTGCATGGACAGGTAGTTCCCGCGCTCGTCACACTGGGGCTTGTAGAAACCGATCTTGGCTTCTCCAAGTTCTGCCTTGATCTGACACTTGGTCTTGATGACAGTGACTGAGGGGTGAAAAGAGAACAGGAAGACATTAAGGACCAGTTCAAGTTGAATTACTGGTGACTGCAGCAAAGTAGTGCTACATTTTGGGAAGTACGTTTCTGTGCTTTTGGCCAAGAGTTAGATAGGAAGAATGATTTCACTTGTATCTGAATGGGGTGTTGATATTTTTGTGTAATTCCCAGCCAAAAAGTAATTAAGTAATTGTCCAACTATACATTTAAGGAAAATCTAAGACTTTGCTTCAAGTTCCATAATGAGAAATGTAGGACTTGTGATATAAAAAAAAGGTGGATTTACTCTTTGCACAATACAAAAATCTCTCCTATAACTGCTCCTTAAAAATTACAATAGCAAAAGTAATATTGGGTATGTAATCGTAACCTTTTTGCACCAAAATAGAAAAATAAAACAGTTCTTGTAAACTCAGAAGCTTCACTGCTCAGCAAATGGCTTTTTTATTGATATTGCCACAGTATTGTGTTACATCCATCCTTTACTGGAAATAAAGGAAAAACAGCATCTACTGTTACACCTGTGTGGATCAGAGCCTTCGCTAAACACTACAATGTGAAGGGAAGTAAAGGCGAGTAACCTGGCTTAGCGGATGGGGGGGCAGGCTCCTTCTGGGCCATCTGGAAGATCAGCCAGTAACGCATCCAGGACTCAAAGCTCTGCAGAGAGCAAAATGTAAAAAAACAATAAAACATGATGATTTTATTCAATAATATCGTATTTGTAGTCTTCTCCATTTAAATGTGTGTGAAGCTCTACCTTCCACTCGCTCTCGTTCACATGCTGCTTCATGCTCTGCAGGTTGGCCAGGAAAGTCTCGTTGAACTGCGGCAGCTGGGGGTGCTGCTCAAATAGTTTAGAGCGTACGTTTAGAGGATAGCTTTTTTTACAGCTTCAGAACACAGCATTAACAATGTGTCGACAAACAGGAAACACAGTGCAACAAACCTGCATGAGATCCTTCAGCTGAGTCTCCATGCTGGAAATAGTGTCCTGAAGTTTCTGATGGGAGGGAACAGAGTATTTAAATACTTTTGCTTGAAATAATGTTGAAATATTCTTCATTCATTATACAAAATTAGGTGAAGTGATGTGTCAATTTAAACCTAACATGGTCTATTCAGTTCATGTTGTATTTGATAGGAGGTAGAAGTAAACCTACAGTCAGGGGTGTCTTGGTTTCCACTTCTGAAGTGAAGTCCGTCAGCAGAGGAAAGCTGCTCATTGGCATGTGCATCTTTATTGGGGCTAGAGGTGTGAACAAACAAAAGAACAAACTCAAAAATAAAGGCCACATGATAAAATTCAGTAGGAGAAGCATTGTTCGTTATTACTGATTTTGTTGAAAATAAACAAACAAATAGCTGATCAGAAATTCTAAAATTACAAATCCAATGAAAACCAAAAAGGCTCCATAGAATTAAAAATATATAAACAACTAGATATGAATAGAAAGTGGTTGAAATGATAAAACTGAAGGCAACACGTAATTTTAATGTTGAATGCTGGAAAATACATGTTATTATCACTAACATTTCACGCTGCTTGACATTAAAAGATCAACATTAGAATAGTAAACAACTGAATCATGAGGACACTTTCATTTCTCTTTCTACCTTTTAGATCAAGTTCCTTCAAGTCAGCTTTCACTTCCCTGTCCCTCATTCTATAGCTTCCTCATGTCTGACTGAGGCTATGATTCATTACTGACACATTTCTACTTGTCCCCCTCTATCTGATCATTAGGATTTTGATGCTTGCTTTTACCCTTGACTGGGCGGGACAGCTGTTTGTCTAATCTCTCAGAGTTTTTCTTCAGAGAGTGGATCTCCTGCTTCTGGTCGAACACCATGTAAGCAGTGAAGACCTGGCTGGCCAGCAGCAGACAGGCCAGGGTCGTCAGGCCGGCCACCTTCAAGGCACGTTTGTTGGAGCTCCTGAGAGAAATACATGAAAATAAATGTGAGGATAAGGCAGACGGGGTGAGGGGATAATATGCCAAACAGCCACATTCAGATTAACTAAAAGTGACATGGTTTTTAAACAAAGGTTTCGTAACAAATGCAAATGTCCCCTCTGTGGGACGAATAAAGGTATTCTGATTTGGAAGGTATTTAAGTTACTTGAAGGGGTTGCCCGAAAGTGCTTTTTGGACTTTACGTCACACAAAAAAAGCCCCATGTCAAACAACATTCTTTTTATTATACATATTCTAAAGAAAGGAAAATATCAAACATAATCTCTTTTAATAGTAATAATTAAGTATAAAATATAAGTCCTCTGACACATACAGTCAGCCTTTTTGTCTGCTGCTCATAGTATGCCAATGCATCACTTGTTACCAGGCAGACCTTTTTACTGGAGTTATAGGGAAGTACAAATCCAACTAAAAGTTAGAGCCTAGATGTGAAAAAAAGTGTTCAGTGTCTCATAAAAGGGTCTCAACAAAGCATATGCCTATTTTATAATAAGTTATGCTAGAAAAAAAAGTAAAACTATGACCTAGAAACTCAAGGTAGTATGTAAACAATATCTATAGGAGGTTACTGTATGTTAAGAGAATAGGACAGAGTTCAAATATTTTTCAGAGACAATAATTACATTCATAAATCATTCGTTTCTTAGTTAAAATCTCCAACATTGTCCAATGTTTATCTGCTGTGGTTAATTATGAACTAATAGCAGCATCATCTGTTGCTAGGTAGACGCCTTCTGTAAAGTGACCGATGTCCGATTGCAATTGACTAAATATGGTTTACATGTATAATGAATATATATAATTATATTATAAGTAAGCATTTAAAATGTTGGAAATAAATCACTTTAATACACTTATTTCATGAGGATATCTGCTGGCTAAGAAAAAGACGACATTTGAATTCAATTCACAATTTTTTAATGAATCTGTAGAGACTCGCCCTTATAATTAGAATTGTGTTATACTGCATAAAAGACAACTTTATTAGCACACATTAGGATTTGGTGGTACTACTTTGCAAACTGTTATAAAGAGTGTAACGTTTATGAGACAGGTTTCTCTCACCTTGAGGGAACTTCGGGGATAACGAGGACTTCTTCACTGCCAGCCAGACTCCCTGTGGCCAGGGGGGACTCTTCTGTATGGTCGGCCATCTGTCTTGGAAGTTGGTCTCTTTCTTGTCCTTCAAAGCAACACACTAAAGAAAGTGGGACCCGTGCTGTAGATAAATGATCTTAGAAATGAGGAAGGACAGGTTCTTCGGAAAGGTGCACGGAAGCGGGAAGTCCCCGTTAAAAGCGCTGTGGGATGGCTCGGTTGTTCTGTGAGGGAAAGGCTTGTGATTGGTCCATTAAAGCCCCATCACTTGTTGTTAGTGGCAGAATAGTGGAGATGTTTCGTTTCATTTGTGCCAGGAATTTCACCTAACTGGTTTTACTGTATGATTATGTTCTGAGTAAAAGCTCACACAGTCTGTTGAGTTAATAAACGCTTAATATTAACACGTAGTTTACCTATATCAATAACATTTGATGCCATTTGCTTATTATTTATGGATAGTAAGAAAGAGCAAACATCAATATAGAAGTATTAATAATACTACCTCAATTACCAACAACAAGAGGACAATTACATTTATTAAAACTTAAATGAAGGGTTATCAGTAGCAACCATGGGAATTGCGTATAAGGTATATGCAAGTATTTTTACTTTTATGTTTGATCATTTGCCTTAAGAAATGCAGCATTCTATTTATGGTCATGCACTTCCTAGAACACCAGACTGCTTCTCTTGTACATGAATGCTGTCTTTTAACAAGGAACTGAACATAAATGAACCATGTTAATATATCTTGGCTTCATTTATACATCAGGAAAAAAACAAAAGTGCATTTTGTTAGTGAACAGGCCTTTGATTTGTGGTATTTTCAGAGAGAAATAAAAACCCCCAGTAAAGTGAAACCAAAAGACAAACCAATCTTCAAGAAATCTCTGCACAAAAGCAACAACCATTATCCCGCTTGAGTTGAATTTAAAGTCATCCTTCACTAAATTATATTGAGAAAATATGAATGAACAGACAGAAATTCAACTAAAAAAAAGAGAGCAAAGTATATAGCATATATTGAAAAATACAGTGGTGTTTTATTTGCAAATTAAAAAGCACCGACAATATTAGTTACACTGTAAAAATTATTGACAACAATTACAAATCTTTATCATACAGTCCAGGAGATTAGTACCATCATTGCTGTTATGTGTTATCACTTAATACTTTATATGGAGAGACTCAGTACCTGTGTACAATGGTTGGCAGTGAGAGGAATGAGAGGAAACAATCTTAGCGACACACCTCCGCATGATGACGTCATCCAAACTCCCCTCAGTACAGCACTGACATTTCACACTATGGGAATGGGCTGATGGAGAGTGTAAACCCAAACACATTCAATAATTTAGGTCTACTGAAGGTTGCGTATACTATGTACATTACAAAGTCAGGAAATAAAGGACCACCATGTGCATTATTACATCAGAACATTGTACAAAACTATTGCAATAAGAGCAGCTTTTTGTTATCTATGCTTGACATCTAGTTGCAGTGGTAACACCTCGATCGACAACCAAACGTCTGTATGGTCTCACTGGGCATACTGTTGGTTCGCCTGGCAACTTTTCCCAGAGACAGCTTCTTTCCCCCAATCTTAAAAACTCATCTAATAAATGAAATGAAACAAAATATACAGTTCTGATGTAAAATACAAATTAAAAGTATCAAATGCTGAAAAAGGATTTGAAATGCACAACCTTGTTCTGTACACTATCTGACCAGAGTGTTATTAAACATACAGTAGCTAGCTTAAGATCTTCTTCACATGTTGTAGTAGGATCCTTTTTATAAATGTGCTTTCCAGTAACCTGTATGTTTAGAATCGATGTTCCTTAAATATTGTGCTTTCAACATCTAAACTGTTCCTGCTTGAGCCAATTTAACGGTCATGGAACTGACTACAAAAGGCCGAACAGTTTAACAAACCAGTCTTCAGTACATCTGTCCTATATGAGAAAACTGAGCTAAGATTTAGTTTTGGTACATTCTATAATAATGCATTGCAGTCAGCATTGTAGAAATGTTAAAACAAAATCTGAGAAATGAAAAGAAAAAAAACGTTGCAAAGAAAAATAAGCCCCAATCGTCCATGTGGTGATATTCTGATCTGTCCTGGCACTTGTAAATGCAATAACTAGATTCTACCAAGGCCTATTGAGTAAGGCTACAACATGCAGCCTGATTCAAGACTCCAGATGTCCCGTTCTCCTCTCAAACAAACACTTACTTATGTCAAAGGCATTTGGAATCAATGTCTCTCTGTCGGTCAGGCTGTCAACTATTAAAGTCAATGTTATGTTGCCTGTTTTAATCCAAACACACCACAACTCATAGCTGGAGACAAGGGTGATTTTGTGTTCATCTCTTCCACCTATATTTTTCTCCTTTCTTTGATTTTCATGCGAAGAAGAGGTTTGAGTAGAGCAGGGATGTGATTATCAAACACTGAAGGTCCCTCCTGTGCATCGCTGAGCCTTTCCTTCTTCTGCAGGACACGGCGGTGGCCATCTTTCAGGTGTCCATGCTCCTGGTGTGTCCTGCAGGGGAGCAACAGCTTCTCGATGCCCGGGGAGAGAGGAGCGCCATCAGCTGCGCAAAGCGACAACGCTCTCTTCCTGCTCATCATCCACTTGGGAAGATCACAGTTAAGATTTGAGTTCTGGTTGGGCATCCCATCCTTACATTTTGACATATTTCAGACTCTTTCAAAACTATTTGGGGATCTTCAACATTGCAGGCCACTTGACCAGAGTCCCTTTGGCAGGGTGGAGTTCAGTGTGGAGCTGTGGTCTCCCCCTGGGGTGCTGCTACCTGGTGTGGACCAGCTCTTCTCTGAGCCAGCTGGGCAGCGGCTGACCCATCCTGTAGAGCAGCTTGGACAGCTCAATGTTGTGATCCCTATAGTACTCCCTGAGGAAGCCCTGGGACTGAGGGAGACAAAAGGAGGTCAATGATTAGGATACATATTTACATTTATGATCAAGAATTATGAAAATGTAAGGTTACATTAACAGTACAATGTATTTCTTAGAGCATAGGTTTTTGCAAACGATCGTACCTCAGGGTCCATGTCAGGGTACCTGCGACCTTTACTCTTTCCTAAACATTTGGTCTTCCCTCCCTCCAGCAGCTGACACCAAAATCCTTTCTTAGGGTCGAACCTGTACATATGAGATATATATATAATGAATGTGTTGTGAACTACAGAATACTTCATTTAGAGTTTAAATCTACAGTTATGAAACACAACATTTCTAAGTTTTAAAAATGGAAAGAAAATCCTTGCAACAGATGGTGGTTTGTACAACAAAACTATTCCTGCCAGAAAAAAAAATTAAGTTTTACATATTGGCCTTATTTGATTCGCTGAAGTTTTGAAACTAAAGCAAAGCAGACAGAATACTACTAATGTCAGTTGAAGTAGAGAGTTATTAATCAATGTAATTATAAATTAATTTTTAAACATGCTGTTAAAGTGAAGCAGCTACTCACGCTAGGATCTTGTGGTAGTTGATGACGTTGACCAGGGACAGATACTTCTGGATTTTATCCATGATTGAAGCGGGCTCAGTCTTCAGCATCTGCCCATCCAAGACTAACAACTGGGGGAGAAACACAAACAGTGCCAAATGTCAGATGGGTTGCAGGACAGTCTTGTATGTGAACCACTGTGAAACAACCTCTCATCCTTATCCAAGTAACCCAGGGGTCGGCAACCTTTTTGATATGAAGGGGGGGAGCTTGACGCTCGTGAACTATCAACAGGAGGGCGGGGAGCCTCGCTGCGGGGAAGCAGTGTGTGGACCTGTCAGCGCAACTTACATGATACCGAATTTAACAAACACATTTAAATAATTGGTTTAAACTGCATAATAATAAGGACGATCGTCCGTTCTGTGATTCTCCAGAACACACATGTTATGATATTAGGGTCATGCAGAGTGAGATGAGATCGCTGTTCCTTTAAGAGAGAGAGAGAGAGGGGTGTGGCGTGTGCGTGTGTGTGTGTGGATGGTAGAGCGAGAGTGAGCGAGCGTGTGTATGTATGTTTCTGGAAGTGAAACGAGGCAGCAGAAAAACAGAGGTCTGTGATGTATTTTGTGAAACAGAAGAACAGCTAAATAAATGCAACGGCCTCCCAAGAAGAGCTCGCCTCTCTCCAGTCATTTAAGCTAAAGTGGGTTATTGAACCTGAAGCTTGTTGCTTCTGCCCTCCTCGACTACACGGTCTGGGAGCCGACAGGAAAGTTCAACACACAGATGGCCAATGCTGGCACGCGTGCCAGGGGTTGCCGACCCCTGAAGTAACCAATCCAATGCAAATGGATCAAATTGAAAAACACACATTTATTTTTGACCACACTGTCTGCCTGATGCCTGAAATAGATACTTTTTTAATAGATAAATGATCACATCTTTCTTAAGAAATAATGACCACATGTCAGGGTATCATAGATTTGGTCAATTTGAGGCAACAATAGCTTTGTTTTTATTCAAACTGTCCCTAAAAGGGCAGACTTCTTCTCTTATGGTCAAGTGGATTTAACACACTGCCTGTAAGGACTGAGCAAAAGAGATAAAAACATCTTCACCCAAAACCATTCTGGAAAAAAATACCTTCCAGCCACCCATAAAGTGTCTGTGTGATTTACACAGACAAAGGGAAAAGGTTTCACACCCAGATCTGAGCTAGCTTGGCTGTTCACTGCATATTGCCCACCACCATAAGCAGGAATACTCCCTCAGTACCTGGCTGGAGTGGTAGTGGTTGAGCCAGCGCTCCAGGTGGATGGCGTACCAGCCTGGCACCAGACAGCGATTCTGAAGGACCCGCAGTTTGACTGGAGACTCGTGGCTTGCGGTGATGACGTCGCGGAAGGAGTATTTCAACGCCACCGGGTCATCGTGGGCTCTTTGGTGCTGAGGGTATACAGAGAAGGAAGGAGGATGAGTCTTGAATACATTCATAATAATATTACAATGGTGATCATGCAGAAATGAACAGAGCAGTTTGCAAAGTGCATTAAAAGAGTTAACCCTCTGAACACCACAACCTGCAAGGGGGTTTACAAGTTAGCCAGAAACTGTAAATCAGAAATAATTAAACAAATCTAAGCTTAAAAAAAGTAATAATTCATCAAGACCCCCTTATCCTATGTGTCTTATTTAAAAAGTTGGCAGTGAACAGAACTAGGGATGCCAGCGATTATTCGATTATTCGTTACAGTCTCCATAATCGAATATTATTTTTAAAAATCGATTTTATTAATATATTTTTTTATTAATATTTATGTTTTTCTTTTTTTTCCTGGTTTGGTTTCAACCAAAATATAGACTAATGCTAATAATAGTAATAGTATTAATAATTGTAAATGACCATTGATCACACCACCAGTTTGTTTTACTGTAAACTTGGAGGAAGCCAGCAGCGCAGAGTGCTGCAGCCTGCTACACACCGACCCCGCCCCTCCCCTCTCCGTCGTGGAAGGAGGCGGTTTCCTTGAGTTTATGGCAAACGTGGAACCAGATTACAGGGTCCCGGGCCGTACTCTTATCAACTGTCTCAAAGGTGTCGATAACCACCGACGGGTGGACGGCACTCACAACTGAATCCTATGTTACCATAACCTGACATTATATCGATAGTGAATGGGAGATGAAGAGTGCGGTTAATTTAGCTGAGAGGCTCCGCAGTGCTCTGTGCCCTCGGAAAGGGTTTTTTTGGCGGCAGGACTAATCCTTAACCGGCTGCGCTCTCGCCTACACCCATACATACACACATAAAGTAGGCTATTTATTTAATTTATTTCAATGATGCTATTATTAATACTGTTAATACTGAAGAGCCCTTTTGTACCATGTACACGTTTCAGTAAAAGAAAACAACGGAATACCATTTGTCAGTGTTTTTTTTTTCCTCCTCCCCGGGGGGGGGGGGGCGATTAATCGATTAATATTCGCCAGGGCTGTCCGATCTTCGATTTTGGTCATGGTCAGTTTCTGGCATCCCTAAACAGAACCTGTGAAGTAAATGTGGGCTCCTCAGCGCAACTTGGGGGCCCGAAATGACACATTTGAACCTATTTTATTTTGGTAACACTTGTGGGCACTTAGAAATGCTTTGTATTCATGGTTTCCAGTCCCCCACCCATTTTTGTGAAATAAACTGAAATTCTACTTGCAAGTCTTTCTTTTTTTCTGATTTATGGGATTATAATTGTTTTATACTGCATTAAAAGACATGTTTGAGTTGGCTCTTTTTCTCATTATGATTAGGCTGTTTCCATTGCAGTCAGGAATTAAATATGGCAGAAAAAAGGAGGCCACAGTAAGTCAAATGTGACAAAAGCAAAAAATGCCCTGAAACAGCTCCGGGTTAAGAGTTATTAGTCTTGTTCAGGGTTTCCTTTGACTGACCTGGTACCAAGAGTAAGCTCTGTCCGCCGGGTTGATGAGGATGGTGATGATCTTGGCTTTGGGCAGGAGAGCTGCGGCCCTTTGAGCAGCCACCTCCGAGTCAAAGTAGTTGGCACTCTTCTCAAAGTAATAGTCTGAACTAGTGTTGGAGGGCAGAGGAAAGTACTCCATGTACCTGGATAACACACAGCAAACACAAACATACAAAGTGTTACAAGCAGCCGGAGTTGATCTGGTCAAACGTACTCTCCGTAGATAAGGATAGTTTCTCTGTGTGCTGTGTGGACGATCGGCCATGTGCAACAGTGTGTCACCTCGCACACAAAAAACACAAACATCTAGCAGCAAGTAGAATGTTAGTATTTGGGCAGCCTGCTCAGATAAATATCAAGCCGGCCAAGAAAGTGTTGTTGTGCTGTTTGTGTTGTGATGCATGAAGCTTCTCATTGATGCAGGGTTCAAATCAATTAAACCTACAGGCACATTTAAAACACTGAATTACATATCTAACTAAATAGGTGTTCATTTTCGTTGCTTGGCTTGATCTTAGGGATTTATCTAATGAGTGTATCTGTTGTTCTGTTGGGACCTAGCCTCATTTGCATTTTGATTCTTGATTTAATTTTCATTTAACAGATCATGGAATTTAATGAGAAAGTAAGAACAGGGCTTATTTGTACTTAAAATGCTTTGGACAATATTTTACCCTAATTTATACTAATTGATATGGAAAGGAAATATTTGAGATTCAGAAGTTTTACTCCTAAAATTAACCGTCAATTTAGCAACCAAAACTTGGAAACAGTACACATAAAACCCTGAAAAAACATGATTCCTAGAAATGAGATGCAATGTTAAATGTGGTTGGTAGATGCTGCCCAGCACAGCCCTGTTATAAAACACTGAGGAGAGTGTGTGTTGTTTCCTACCAGTCAATGCCTCTGTGGTAGTTGTGCCCATTGAAGAACTGGATCTCCTCAAAGGTCTCCTTGCTTGGATAGTTACTGGTCAGGTCCGGGTGCATGCCAAGAAACAAGTAGAGAGCTGTCGTCCCTGAGAGGCGGGAAAAAGCCGTGTAGAAAAGATGAAAGAAAATAGCAAAAGGTTAAAGGGAGTGCATATCCTGTAACACCCTGAAAACAAATCACAATCTACTGCCATTCCCTTTGATTTTCAAAGACATATCAAAACCTAATTCAACCCACTTAGAACATCACTCAACTTCTGCTTTGAACTGAGTGATGAACTTCAGATCTAATCATTTCCAACTCCTCCTGTAGGGGGTGCTGAAGCACTGTGTCTCACCTGTCTTCTGAGGCCCGATGACGAGCAGTTTGGGGAAGCGGTCACATGTTTTCTCTTTGGACCAGATGTCCTTGTGCCTTTTGTCCTCACAGGGATCCTGTAGCCACGAAAAGATAAACATTCCTTTGTTTTAGGTGTGGTTCTAACAGAATTCATACAAACAAATACATACATTTAACGAGACAAAATAACGCAAGTTTAGGTTCGTCTTGATCTAACAAAGGAGACGTATTAAATAAAATATGTTCAGATGGGTACCAACAGAGCTCTCCATACATTAATAAATCATTGTATTACTCATTGCTTAAGACATACACACCCTGTTTCTGCATATTGGACGCACTGAGAAGCATTTAAGCTATTACTGCTTGACGTCATATTTTAAGGGATGCAATGTGTTTTGTACAATAGTTGTCTGCCTTACTTTTCTGTTATTGCATCATTCCATCACTGACATCTGTAAAAAATGACTACTATATGCTAATTTCACATGTCAAAAATCTTCCTCACCTGCCAGAGTGGATCCCTCTCAGAGGGGAACAGGCTGAAGTACTTCTGGGCCAGCTGGATGGGGGGCAGGGTCTGTATCTTCAGGTTGGTCCACGTCTGGAGGAACATCACCAGGCTCTTAAAGGTGTACAGGCCGAGCCGATCGTTCCCGTAGTTTGACAGATGGGTCATGAAGATACTAATCTGTGAATGGGAAGGAACAAGCAGAGTAATATTTAGAAGGAGGAAAGTTAACTCAGTTTGGTTTAGGTGGTATGAACTGTGTATATTATTTAAACACTGAATGTTAATGTCCTGTCCCTATCCTGTTACTGAACTGCTAATTTAGTGTTTGAAGTAATTTGCTGTTTGTTCAAGTCTCTTTCCTATATGTGACATTTCTTATGTTGTTTGTTGTTTTATTTTAAGTCTATTTTTTTGTATTTCATGTGAGACTGCTATGATGCCATTATGGCCAGGAATCAATAAGAATATCCTGTTAAAATAAATAAATAAATAAATAAGCAGTAATGATATTTAGTTGGCGTTGAAACAGTTGATGAATGGCTTTGTCAACCGACAAAATGTCAAACCTCACAGATCCTTTAATTACTTCAGAAACTAATCTCTTTAGTGCAAGAGGAATATTTACAGCAATCAAAAACTGTTGCAATGTTCATATGAGCGCCTGGTTATGGTTTTATGGAAATTCTGGACTGATCCTTCAAAATGGGGCAGTATCCCTTGAAAGTCACTGAAAACAAGGATGAATGCTTCCCTTTCAGGCTTAAACATATGCACCAAATGTTGTGGAGAAATGGATACATGGGAAAAAACAGTTTAAAAAACAGGTTAAAAAAGGTCAGCCTTTAAGAGGAATACAACTACAGACTATACAGGGTAACATTTATATGGTATTTCTAAAAGTATTAAAAGTGTTGTGGGAATGCAAGTTACCCATTGCTTGGCCGATTGGTAAAACATTAAACAGAGAGCCTGGTTCTTGAAAACAAAACGTATATCGTGAGGATGAAAGCTTAGGAGCTGGTCAATATTTGGGAGATATTTTTGGAATGTGTTAAACATTCTGACATTGAAGAGGCACTGGTCTGAAGACATTTGGTCATTTTTGCTGTGAGTAATGTGTGTCGAACCCTGTCTTATATGTGGGACAGCATTTGAATTGTATTTTCTTTTCAAATTACATTTTTATGTCCAATTGCTGAACATAAAGTTTCAGCTTTAATCCTTTTTTAGTTAATTATTCATGTGGATTCAGATGTATTATTATCATTACTTTTTGTAAGTTAAAAAGTGCAATAGGTTATATTTGAGGAGAGTTCTAATATGCATGCACACTGTGCTTACACATGTTTATAAAGTAACCTTTTTTGATCATCGCAAAACAAAACATGCTGATGAATGTGGCGCTAGATAAAAGAGGCTTTCATAGGAGGGTAGAAACAGAGAGCACGACGCAGACATCACTGTGTGAGTCACTGACTAGTCATTGTCCCGTCCCTCGTTTATATTTCAATTCACACCAGCAGTGTAATGGGTTTCCAAGCGTGCAAGACAAAAGCTGTGCTGTGTGGATGTGAATTTCACTCACAGGGTTCAGTAAAACAGTGAGGAAGAGCTCTCCTCCATTGATGAGCTTGTCCAGTTCGTTCGGGCTGCCTGGGTAGTCTTTGTAGAAGATGGTGTGTGTGAAAAGACCACACGTCTGCCTGGGCAGCACCTGTAATTCAAACAAACACAAAGTTACAACAAAAAACAACACACATCCAAAAGAAATCACGAAGAAGTTCATTCAAACAAATAAACACACACCATCAGCCCTCCGCTGAGAGTGGCGCCGCCAGTACTCCAGGCGGTTACCACACACATTGTTTGCTCTCAATAACATTCATATTATGCAGCTCATCTAGCCAAAGCAAACCTCTTATTCACTGTGAGTCTATATGGAAATTCATGGAAATGCGTTTACAGTTTGGAGTGTCTGGGGAAGTGAATATCAATCATCAGTAAGCAGTGGGGACTGTCCATTCAGACGGCGTTATCTGAAGGACGCGAGTAAAGCTCCGAGACCACACAGGCTGACTGAATGCCAACACTACAAAGAAACTGGACTGAGGCTGCAGGCTTTCCTATCAGCGTTGAAGGTCAAACCAGGAAAGAATAGATACCATTTTTCTTCTTCTTCTTTGAAACCTCTTGAATGTAATCTCTTCGACTTTAATTCGGCACTCATAACTTATTTTATTCAGCACCGGCTAGCGCTGTGAAGTTGAATAGAGTGCAGTTTTTTAGGAGTGTTGACATTTCAGTGATTGGTTGTGTGCAGACACTTGCTATGCTGTTGCCAAAGATGTCCGTCTTCGTTATGGCACTGAAGCCTGCGGGGCAGCGCTGCTCCGACAGGTGTCTCATGCAACATCGGCTCACTTCACTACACTATCATCTCATAGCAAGACTAATGAGACGATTGCCTTTCTCAGGACTTCTGTTGCCTCAGTGATATACGCCGTAAATGAAAATAAGACTCTGCTCGGTATCTTAGGGGACGAGACTTAACACTAGAACCGCCAATCGGGTCAATTTGACCCAGAGCTGTTTTTTATTGTATGTAACTTTTTTTCAATCAAATATTAAAGTCTCCCAGTCCGTGACTTTTCCTGAAAGTGTGTTATGTAGCACCCTATGTTGTTAAAAATGGTCAATATGAAGTCAGATTGAAGAAATCGCCAAAAAAATTGCCATTTATACCTATTTCCGCCCAGCGGGTCATATTGACCCCACCCCTTTTCATATAAACATGACGTGTTGCTATAGCAACGCCTTTTGTCTACTGCAGTTCCTTATAGATTGAGAGATAGATTGAGAGAGAGAGGGATAGATGGATAGATATATTGATAGATAGTTATAGATAGAGAGAGAGAGAGAGATGGAGACAGTCTGTAGTGAAGGAGTGCGCTCCCGCTCACGGGAGACTGCTCGCGCTGCGCTCCGCAGCAAACAGCTGTGGGGCGAGTTGAAAGTACGTTATGCTGGCCGGGGTGTCTAAATAATGCTTCCGGGCCAGCGGGCCATTTATAATGTCGAGCCCTGTCATATGAAAAGCTGAGAGTCCACAGATTCTATTTGTATACGTTTCATCCCTGTGCGATCAAAACTCACTGTTCAATAAAACATTTTACCTTGAAAATCAATGCATTCTAATAGCGGGTCAATTTGACCCAGGTGGCAGTTTTAGGTATACAAAAACCTCTGGCGGTTCTAGTGTTAAGAAAGCAGAGGCGGAGAGGAAAGTTGGATGATGGACAAATGCAGGATGGAGAGTAGCTGCTGGCGAGAATAAGCACAAAAGAACTGGAGGAGGTGGAGATGGAGAGATGATTAATGAATGAAGGATAGCATATGTAGATGGAGAAAGAGAACCCTGAAAGAGATTATTAGCTCAAGGTAATGGATGTTGAGAAGTCAAGTGGAGGGAAAGCATCGGCCAGAGGTAACGAGCTAATGAGGCCTTATGGATGCGGTGTGTATGAAAAGTGTTCTTACGCTAATGCCGCTGTGGATGAAACCTCTGCGGAAGCGGGCGGGCTTCAGGTGGGGGTATTCCTCCGTGCTGGTCACCTTGATGCCCCACACCTTCTTCCAGGCGTCGTACAGCTGCAAATGAACAGGGTAGACGCCAGAGTGGTGGGGCGCCACCGCATAGCCCATGTTGGTGGGGATCCCATGCTCCTGGAAGAGGGAAATACATGAGAGAGAGTTAGGAGTCAGAGAGAAGAGCAAATTCTAAAAAAAGAATTCTACCTGTAATGTTCCCAAGATATTAAGGCTCTAACGGATTTTTTATAAAATTAAACCACATTTTTTAAACGTTTTATAGCCAACATATTTTTTTAACATTCATTCATTATCACAATTTTGTAGTTTATTTTGTAAAGGCCACTCCCCCGCTGGGTTCAGATTGTCTACATAAACATGAGGTATTCAGGAAAATTATGCTTCTTTGTAATGCAGCTCAAATTCATTATATAGTTTACGCTTAGCTCTCTTTAATTCACATCAGACCTTATTAAGTTACCTCCTACTGCTGATGCCTAACGTTTCATGTGTTTAAAAGGCGAAACGGGATGGAAAAAAATGCCAATGTAATTTTTCTTCCTTTCACTGTCAGCATATATTTTTTTATGTTTTCACGGGAGTAAGTGAACATGAAGGAGCCTTCACAGAGAGCTGTGAGATTTAGGGCAGACACATCTCCAGTCTGACTGAGCCAGCTAACAAACCCCACTGTGTCCTCCTGTCCTCTGGAAAGCATGAAATCTAATGGCAGTTGCAAATATATTTTTGACTGGGATTTAAAACAAAACATGACTTTTTATGGCTGCACTGCTAACACTAGTTGTTCTTTCACAAAGTGTCTTAAACCACACTTGCGGTTACTTCAATAACCCAAGGTATTCAACCTGGATATAAATCTTAAGATTACAACCGTAGAAAATAATTAACACCTTGCACACATGATAAGCAAGGATAACTCAGCGCTCACCCAGAGCTGTGATCCGACCTTTGCCCCTTGTGACTCACCATGGCAAATCTCTTGTTGAGCAACATCTGCTCAGCCAAAACGGACTGGTTGTGGAAAAGATGGGGCTGCATGTGGCTCCACATGTGAGGAAACCACCAGAACTCCTTCACGTAGGAAAGCAGCAGGTCGTCTCCCAGGTCCTCCTCATCAGATCCTGGTCATAAAAGAGAGGGTGGAAAGAAGGGAGAGGAGGGAGGTTAACAGAAGAGCAAGGGGTGAGGGGTTAAAAGGAAATGGAAAAAGAGATAAAAATGGACATGGACAAAGAAGAGGAGGAGGTGAAGTGGGGTCAGGGAGGAAATGAAAGTGTGAGGGGAAAGAGAAGAAGTTCAAATATTAAATTGAAGCACAGAAGCATGTAAGGGGAATAACGGCACCAAAATAAAGTTAGGGCGTGAAGTAAAGAAGAGAAGTAGAGAAAATTGAATAATGTGAATCGAAACACAGAAATGGTATCTTTTTACTTTTAGAGTATGATCTTATCTCGGCTTGATTTAACAGCAGCAAAGGTTTTTCTTCACAGGCAGCATCTTACCAGCGTGAAAGAATTTCCCTGAGTAGCCCAGATTGAAGGTGAAGTTGGGCACATGGGTGCGCAGCTCCCTTTGAGTCTCCAGCAGGGCCTGAAAGGGTGGGAGGAAAGGAGAGTGAGTCAAACCACGTTGTGCTCATACTGGTGCACGAATGCATTAATGAGGATTCGTGAACACCGAAGCGCGAGTGTGCCCACATACATATTTCATTCTGCAAGTTTCTTTCGGTAAACATCCAATATCCACTCCCTGTTGCCTCACTCCTCTCCTCCATTCTGTTTGATATTTATCCTTCCTCTGATTCGGGTGTTTGTTTCATTTGATCTCCATGCTGGATGAAATTCCCAGCACACACCCTCTCTCACACTCACAGATTTCTCCGGTCTTGTCATCGTGTGATTCGTTCCTAAAAGCTCGCTGTTGCGCTGCCAGTGAGGAGTCTTGATGCAAGTTACATATTTTCGTCTTACACCCTCTGCCTCCACATGTGATCAGGCTGTTCTGCTCTGAGGGGACACAAGCAAGGAGCTTTTCAACATTCTTTGTATGTCCCTGGGCCCCCTGAAATATTCATCGCTGTGGAGCTTCTGTGACAGTGTGAGCAGTGGGGCCTGTCAGCTTTGAGCGGCCTACTGGGACGAATGCATTGAAAAGGAGAAGGGGAGCGAGGAGACGAGGTTTCTGTTTGACTGGCAGAGGGTGGCACAGGCTATGTGTGAGGCAATCTTATATTTTAGCAAAGAGCTGTTTAAAAAAACACTGGTTTATGAATACATTAGTGGGTTCAGTTACAATTCTGATAAAGTTTCAACACTCATGCAGCAACTCACCTTCACATCAGGCACCTTCATGCGTGTGCCCTCTTTGCCCACAAAGATGTCGTCTATATCCACCAGGACGTAGCGCTCCAGGGACAACGAGAGCCTCTTCCCCGTCAGAAAGGCCACAGCGTCCACGAACACCAGCTTGTGCAACCAGAAGACCAAGTTGTTGCCGAACAGGACCCTCTGGATGCCGTCATGGAGCCCCAGGTCCTGCACCACAGACGGGAGCAGAGCAGCGTTCTGCCCCATTGATGCCACGCTGTCAGCTGATTGGGTCTTGGCCAGCAACACAGGCTCGTATGTTGAGTGGTTGGATTGGAAGACAGTCCAGTCATCCCCGGGGAGGGGACCTGGCAGGGGCTGCCCGGATCGAGTGATGAAGAGCAGGGGGGACTTGGGGTTGACAGTGCAGTCCTTCAGACCCAAGTTGGAGTGAAGGAAGAGGGGGAAGCCCTTCAGCTGTGCACTGAGCAGACTGTTTTCATTGGCCTGATCAACGGAGAGACAAGAGAGAGAAACAGATGCATCATACACCACAGTGATGAAGACAGAAATGTATTGGATATAATTCCCAAATTTCTCCAATCATGTGTGAAATAAGGAATGTCAGGCCTATTCGAACGTGAAGGCATCAGGCAGCTTCTACCTGCTACGCTCAATCTGCTGTGCCCAGAGATTGCAGTTGAAATGAATAACCTCCTGCTGTGTCCTCTAACATTCAAAGATTTAGAGTTCAGCGATTATTCATAGAAATGTCTCTCTCCATAATGCGCCTTTCTCAGATACTCTCACATCTCTACAGCCACAGATACATAAGTCTGACTTCCTCTTAATATCTTACCTCAAATGTCACCAGAATGCATGTGTGGGCGTCAGAAAGAGGATCATAAATATGGAGCTAATTTCCTGCCATAACTCCACAAACAAACTAAACAGGTTTTACAAATGCCTTATGATTCACTAACAAACACAATGTGGTTTGCAAACACAAAACACCATCTACAAACTAATGCATTTAGTTTTGCGGAATATTACTGCCAAAAGTCACGTGAGTGAGTCACGTGACTTTTGGCAGTAATATTCCGCCGTGAGAAGAAAAAGATTTGTACTTGTAAAAAGAAGTGTTGTAGTTGTAAAAAAAATGTGTGTACTTGTAAAACCTATGCTGAATTTGTCTCTGAAACATGATTTATTAGAAAAATGGTATGTGTTTATTTGATAGACACGTTTTTTCTTTGCAAAACTAAATGCATTAGTTTGTAGATGGTGTTTTGTATTTGCAAACCACATTGTGTTTGTTAGTGAATCATAAGGCATTTGTAAAACCTGTTTAGTTTGTTTGTGGAGTTATGGCAGGAAATTAGCTCCATACATAAAGTTGACATGCATTGTGTGGTGTCAACATCTCCACACAGATTGGATTTGGAGGCAGATAGAAATATGTGAATATTTAAAAAGATATGATGACACATTGTTGGCCCCACTGACCCCATTGCTGTATGTGTTGATATTATAATTGTGAAATCAACCAATTTAATTATTAATTTTTTCCTTTGCTTTTCTTCTGACCTTAATTAAACCCAATATGAAGATACATTTGGAGTTCTGGCCTTTCTTTCCAGAAACTGGGCTTGGAAAAAATGATGTTTAAAACATTTTATCTAGCAAATGTTTCATGTTTGTTGTGTTTTATAGCCCCTAACTAAATATACCTTTTGTTCACCAAAAACGGATTCACAGCACAGTGCGCAATTCCCAGAGAAAGACATTTACAGAATGTAATCCATAACAAAGATGTTACGTATGCTAAGTGTCCCTCTTATTAACAAACTGCTGTAAAAAAAAACAATAACAGAAATACAACTCAATTAGTATTATACAAGTGTGGATAAAGGGCTATCTGTATTTTTGCATAAATTAATCTGTTTCTCTATGTATGTTTTATTATTGAAATCTCCAAGAAAGAGAGTACTTGTCGATAGTGGACTTCTGCAGCATGTCATCAGTTCAAAATGATGTTTATAAGCAAGTCTAGGAAAATTAGGAAAGGTGCTGCACCAAGATAATAAGTATTTTAAGTATGGTTTTTGAGTAGTTAAAGAGGGCAAAACACACAGTAAGAGTTAATATAAAAACTTCACATAAACAAATATTTTTGATATAAATTCTTGTTCTAAAATTTGGTTTAAACGAATTGCGACCCAATGTATGTAAGATAAGATAGATCTTGCATATTGGTAATGCAACACAAATCAATACATATGTTTGTAAAAACCTCAAATTGGGCATACAGTCATCTCTTGGGTTAATATAGCAGAGCAGCGCTGTGTTTCCAGGTCATTGGGATGCACCCCCTCGCTCTACTTCTCCTCTCCCAATAGCGGGTAAATCCCACCAGGCTCTCATTCCTAACCTTCACCTACACCGCCTTACATCACGGCACCACCATCTATTCCTCCATATCTCTATCTATATTCTTTCCATGGCTCAGAGATGGTGATTAAAACTATAAGACCTGAAAATAGGCCTCAGGCAAACAGTCTCAGCTAGGGATAACAGAGAGAGAGAGGAGAGACAGAGTGAGAGAGATACAGAGGAAGAACGAGGTACAGAGAAAGCAGAGAAACTAAAGCAAAGAAGAAAAAACAAGAGACTTGGCAAGAAGAGTAAAGTAGACCAGATAGCAGAATAAAGGAAAACAAGAAATAGATAGAACATCAGAAAGAGTGATATGGACCAGGCAGGTCTTTCCAACCGTGTGAATCCAATCTCCTTAGAGACGCTGGAGCCAGATGGACAGGGCAGAAGGTGTCAGTGAGAGGAGGGAGGGGGAGGGGGGAGGGAGGGAGGGGGAGGGAGGGAGGGAGTGTGGTGTTGTCCTAACCTTGAAGAAGCCAATGATGCCCACTCCATATTCCACGCAGTACTTGTCCAGCAGCTCTCGGTTCCAGGCGTCCAAGTTAACATACTTGAGAATGTTCTCATAAATCACCAGAGTGAAACGCCCCCTCTCTTTGTCCGTCAGTGTGGGCATGTCCCCTTTACCGGGGGAGATTTCAGTCCGGTACCTGAAGCGGCCAGACTCCAAGATGGCCACAATCTCCTGACCCAGTTGAGAATACTGGCTTTCCACAAACACCAGAACCACAGGATCTGTCCTGGCCCCTCCAGGGTCCGCCCCCGGACCCCCCGGGACGCCCCGCAGAGGAAGTAGGCGTGACGGAGTGACCCTGGGGTCGTCGGAGTCGGCGGAGGCTCCCTCTGCCCCCGACACGCCCCCTCCCGACGGCTCCAACTCCCGCTTGACGCCATAGAGGAAGTAGGCAGAGATGAAGACACTCACGGTGCAAAAGAGGAAGAGGAGGAGGAGGGAGGTCTGCAGAGGGAGGAGACGGACCAGCCGACGGAGGCGTGTCACGCATCCCAGCATCGTCTCACGCCACACCACTCCGCCCCACCAGCCCAGCAACACGGGGACAGTCTATCTCGGTGAGGGTAGAAAACAGCGAGCAGGGGTACCTCACAACAAACTCAGTCTTTCTATTGAGTTAAACACAAACGGCGTCAAGGGAGCAGCTGCAGCAGCTACTGGAGAAAGAAATGAGACGGTCTCACTTTGGCTCTCCCTCATATTGCAGCGCTGCTTATGTCACCATGGCAGAGAAATAGGGGGCCTTGGACCGCTGGTACACACTTGCGCCTTAGAGGGAAGGCTGGCTGCCCGAATCACTGGTGGAGAAAGATGATGGAAGACTCCATCACCTGTCCATCATGTGAACCTGCCAACCATGTCCCGGTGAGATTTCCCCCCGCTCTTTTGATTGGAGAATGATCTCTTGAGAAAAGCAATGTCATGCAGGTCATCTCAGCATTCCCTCAGGATCGAATCTCATCACCTAGAAAACAACAAAAAGAAGAAAATGATGTCAAAATCTTAAAGCACAGCAACGGTTTCTATAGAACAAACGACATATTGCTTTCTGTTGTTGTGTGGGTTTAGCTGTGTGTGGGAGATGTGTGTATACTGCCAGTGCCAACGCTCTAAAAGTTCACTTCCAAAGTAGTCCCTGCATTCACCTACACACAGTTAAAGCTGCCAATTTCCCCCCACACACACACGCGCTCATAACCCCTGTGTACGCAAACAAAAACACACACAAAAAACATTCGCTCACGCAGCCTCCACACAATCGATAGGCAGAATGTGAGTGACAACAAAGGCTGAGGGCGAGCCAATTCCTGATTCAGTCCGATAGGAATGTGCGACTGCATACAGGTGAAGCCATCACCCGCGGGGACACTCGCCTTCTATTTCCCTCAAATCCTCAACGGTATCACGCCGAGAATGGAGAGCAGGAGAAAAGCAAGCATTCGGTAGGGAAGCAATCCAAGAGCAGAGGAGTGGGTGACAGTGACAGAGAGACCTAGCAACAGTAAGATCCTTTACTCCGGGAGAAACCCCCTTATCACACTCAATATACACCCCTACCCACTCTGCAGACCTATCATAATACTCCAGCCTTTTAGTCAATCTCCATCAAGCCGAGTGAGGAAAGTACAAGATGCAGCATGGAAATGGTGTGAGCTAGTCACTTACAAATACATCATTTCTGCATTTAGGGGCTTGTGGAGAAAAGAGACAGAGCTGCATTACCTTTGCATGGTAACGCTCTGTCCATTAAGCTAGAGAGCGACTGAGGTGCACACATTAAACCCTTTATAAAACCCTAGATACCACATTAGAGTAGAGTCACAACCCTCTCAACCCAAAGACATTAAACTGTGACCACCAAACCCATCAAGACTCATCCGACACAAATCAGACATAAAATAGATTTGATAATGCCATCAAAGGGTTTGTTAGTAACACTATAAACTGAGGTTTGATTAAAAGGGGGCTGACATTAAAAATACAAAAGTGGCCATACTGTGCTCAGTGCAGTGAATCCTATGAGCTGCAAACATCCATCTGATAAATTTACAATCAATAAAAGATTTTTCACGGCCTCATTGGAGATAAAGCTCAGATCATTTCATACACTCCCTATAGATATTCCTTTGATTGAATAATTTATCATTCATATAAACAGAGTACTACTAAATTCAGCCCATATAGTGTCCCTTAGATGTAATCAAGGTCAGCATTCTCTTGTGTAGCTCTGCCCCCTCCAGCCTTCCAGCTAAGCTTATCAGGACGCCTTCGATGTCCCTGCAAGAGCAGAGGAAGAAATCACACTTCCATTTCTCTGAGTCGTGTCCAAGTTTCTTCTTTGCAGGGAGGCAGAGTCTAATGTAAAGAGAGGCCGTGAAAAAACAGTGGGCGTTCAGAGAATGTATCGCAGCCAAGCAGACAAAAACCAACAGCCCTGGTCTCTTGAAGATCCCCCCGGTACCTTGTTTGTTTGTCTTTTAAAGGGTATCGGGGTTCGTGTCATGGCATATCAAAGTATGATTAGCCACAGGAAGCGACTGCTGCTAGAAACAGTGAAGCAGAAGAGAAGCCAGGGGAGACAACACCCGACAACAGTTCTCAAGGTCTTTTGAAGAGAGGACTTTTGTTTGCAACAAACAATACAAAAATAATAATTTAAACTTTCTCATAAAAAAAATTCCTTTCAAAAAGAAATTGGCCTCTATATACCTCAATATTATTGGTCAATGTTTCCAAGCTACCTGTTTTACTTGTGCATTGTGGATTTTTCCTACAATCAAACAATATTTGTGTTTACTTTAATTGTTTAAAACTTGAAAAAACACTTCAAATAAAGAATTGGTCACCTTTTCCATCTCCTTCACTGGTGCATTGCTGCATTTCTTGGCGCACTACCGTCACGTGTACATCATTGGAACGGTGTAAAACCATCACATCATGATGCGTACCATGATGCCCTTGTGCAGATGCATGAGACGTGTTGTATATTGATAACTTTATCAAAAAATGCAATAATTTAAAACAAATCCAGCTCCACTCTTTAGAAAGAAGGTCACCTTAAAGTCATTTTCTGTTAATGATTCATCTGAATGGATGTTATCTCGGTCTGAAGGGCGACAATGAGCTCTGCCCTGACTCTACGGGCACTGTTGACAAGGCTTAGGAGCAGATTGAATGTCGACACAACACAAACAGAGCAGAGGCACAGAAAACCTCACTTCTTGCCCAATTCGCAGCAGTGATGACCGCCTCCCAATGTTGACCTTCAGACTGAGCCACAGAGAGCTACAACCAAAGGAAGGAAGGCAAAGGGAGAGTGTGAAAGCCTGAGAGGGGGAGTCAGAGACGTCACAAATAGAGGGAAAGCTCAAGGCCTGGAGTGTGAAGCTACAGCTTTGAGATTGGGTCAGCTAAATAGAGAATACATTACATTAGACTATAATGGAGATGAGGATATAGCACTGACCAAACAGAATAATGGTTAATGGATCTTAAATGTCTGCACGGCACACCCATATCACCTAATGTGTCTTCTACTTCCTGTGCTATGTATACCTTAGAAGAAGCCAAGATACAACCGCAAACATCTCCGTACTCCTTCCGCCAAAATAATTGATGAAAAGTGTAGAGCAGGAAGAAAAGAGAACATGAATATTTCATGTTTAGCTGATGAGAGGTATAGCCAGCAGACATCTCTCTAAGGTAAAGAGCAGCCGAAAGGTGCGTAGAGACCAGAGTGTTTCAGTCTGCCACAGAGAGTCAGATGGCAGATGGAGACTAATGCGTACCTGATAGCCAACCGTTTTTATTCTCAAAATATGGAAAGAGCAGAGGCTGAGTATGAGCTCTGTAATTGTGCACGTGAACTAAATGTTTCCCTAAATGGAGATGGCAGAAAGACCAATAACAGGAAACAAAGAGCAGCAAAGTGAAAGGAGAACATGAATGTAAAAGGGAGACAAAAGCAGATTAAAGGACAAGATGATCGACAACCAAACCGTGATAAAAAACAAAACGGATTGGTGGGAGAAAGGAGCAGGAAATTCACCCCTAAGGCAACCATAAATCTCGAGGCTTTGAAAACATCAATTAAAACAGTCCCCTCGTTATTTTATAGCAGCTGAAAGATGGTGACAGAAGGAAGTGGCGGCATAAACAATAGCAGGTGACGGCCGAGAGGACAGACTAATGCTTTTCCTCGGGGTGGGTGGTCACTAAAACCCGCTCCCTCTACATCATGGGAAGCAGGCCAGAACCATACTGCTAGATTAATGAGAGACGATGAGGAACCGGGCAGCAGAGCCTCAGCTGTAACAACCCCCTGGATAAACAACGCTAAGGTTGGCCATATGTAGCCTCACACGTCCTGTCCACTCTTCCCCCCCCCGCCCCCCCCCCCCCCCCCCGCCCCCCTCCTCCTCCTCCTCCCTCCCTGACACTGCTGTTGCACTTCTTTTAAAGTGTGTATAGGACCAAGTGTCCCAGGGCTTGTGAAGAGTGTTAGTACATTAACACTGTCGGCCAGGGTCGGACTAGCCGTGGGTGATCCCTTCGACAAATAAACGTTTAAGAGGAGAGCTGGACCCTCAGAGCCCCTCAGGACATAACAGTATCCCCTTCTCTCCCCCCGCTGCCCCCTGTCTCCGACCCCTCGCCACTGACTGACAGAAATAAACGATGACCCTCTGTGTTCAATCACCACAGGCCTTGGCAACCGCACGCTCTCCATGGAAACGGCGGAGTTACGTTGTGTTCAGAGGCATGGAAACTGTGCAGAAGGAAATAGAGAGAGGGCGGTAATCCATGGGACACTCGTCAAAAGGCTACTGTGGTTGTCACTTTTCTGTCTTTGTCTGGGAATCAAAGTGCATGTACCACAGCGGCTCGATCACAGTGGGGACACGCCCGAGAGACTCATTAAGAGAATCAAAATTGTCCCTCTACAAAAGCATGTGTGTTTTGTTCTTCTTTTATTCCTGAGCAAATATTCGTGAGCTCTTGTGCAAACACTCAGGCTTCACAAAGGACAAAAACAACTTTGATCTGGCCGTTTGAATTGTACATGGGTCAAGGTTAAGAATTGGCAAAAAAAGACGCCAATGTAATCCCCAATCGGTAATCCTGTTAATCTCGACACTGCAAACGGCACCAAATGTGCTCATGCCAGCTCTGTTACTGTGTGAGATGCCTTGAAGGGATTAAGAAAAGAGACACAATAGAGTGATGAAGGCGGGGATTGAACATTGTATTGAGAGTGATCAAAATTCGATGTTATCTTTACTCCTCGCTGTGTCGGAAAAAGGGTGCACGAGTTACTCAACCGTAATAAACAGCGACAAGACCACTGTGCAAAATTCTGCACCACAAGCAGCGAGAAGCAAACCTAAAGCGAATTTCTGTATTTGCATTCAGCCTCCTACCCTTTCTGGCGAGAGATTAAACTTCAAAAAGCACAGTTTTTCATATTTCTTTTAAAGCACATCTAAAGCAACAAACAAGCACCCAGGAGAAGCAGGGGCTCGCCTTCTTAAAGAGGTTACATCTTGAAAGCCACAGTCACAGGTTTTTCTTCCTTTCCTTAAGCCAGCCTTGGCATTCATCAATATAGAATCAATCAATCTGAAATTTGAATTTCATTTATGCATTCATTGTGGTGACTGCGATTAAAGGCTTAGACCATGAAATAGTGTGGAACGCGTCACCGTATTTTCACTCCAGCTTGAGCCTCCCACCCTACAGCCAGCCTGAATGCACAAGCAGGCAGCTTCATTTTAGTTGCAAACATTAACACCGACACTTCCCTCTCCCTCTGTCTCATCAATTCATTTCATGCCACTGCGTGAAGGACAGAGGACTCGGGAGGGAAATGTAGTTTTGCCTTCTAATTCCCCAGAAAGTGACTTTCAGACCATTTCCTGTACCAAACCATGCGGCTGAATTATCACATCATTTTTCAGCACCTCA